TCCCCCCCCCTCACCTCGTGGTCTTATCCTCTATCTCAGTCTTCACCTTCAACTCGTCCTGGTGACTGGTGGAAGTATAGCTCATTGATATACTTCTCTTGCTGGGTGTCACTCCAACACTACGCCACTATCTATCACCACTTCCACTCACCATCTCATCAACCACCAACACGAATCGCACGGCCGTCTATCCGAGAGGGACGCTCCTAAAGAGCAAAAAAACTTTGATTCCGACAAATTGGACCGGATATCCACTTCCGCCTCCACCTGCAAACTGTCACTTTTTCTGACTTGCCTTGCTCTTCCGAGAAACGCCCGGAAGGCCGCGGGACGAAACGAAGAACGCCCAGTGCGACCTTTTTTCTCCCCCCTCAGGGCTGTCCACACCGACTGCCTGACTCGATTACTCATTCTTCACCCTCAGTTTGGGCACTTACCGGAGAACGTCTCGGCTTCTATTCTTTGGGTCTCTTTTTTCGATTGGCATATTTAACCTTGGTGTCGATCCTCCGCGAGTAACCCTGGGTTGGTGTTCGTCTTGCTATCAGACCTGCTCCGGCTAAACAGACGAGCCCTACATCTCCTACATCTACTTGACCCTTACCCGCCGAACTATATCCTCTATCACCACACTACACACTCCACACATCACATCCTCTCCACAACACACCACACCACAAACATGTGCCAACAATACTTTACCATCTACTCCTGGTGCCACTGCGAGGAGGCCGCCGGCGAGCACTACTGCACCGAGCGCAGCCGCGACAGCTGCCCCAGCCTCGATGTCAAGACGGTCCACATGCAATGCTTCTGCCACCTGCACGCCACGCGCGGCTTCAAGTCGGAGCGCAAGTGCCGCAAGCACGAGCGCAAGCAGGAGCGCAAGCGCCTGTCGATGATGAGCGCCTCCACAAGCTCCACCGGCAGCTCCAGCGGCTCCTCCAGCGGCGGCTCCAGCAGCGAGAAGAGCTCGCTGGAGCCCCGCCGGCGCAAGTGGTACCATTTCCACTTCCGATCGCGCACGATCTAGAGGGGGATATTTTCTTGAGCAACATATCTCTCGTTTACTGTTTTCCTATGTTTTCGAACTTTTTTTTTTTCTTTCGTCGTGTCATTTCCTTTGTCATGTATCGGTGTTGGTGGCTGTTATGATATTTGCTTTTGCTTTTGCTGGCAAGGCGCTGCGGCTGTGGGTTTAAAGGGTTTTCTTTGGGATGGGATTAACAGGCGTTTTGTGAACCTGGTGGAATACACCAGGGAAAGAGGGTGCAGGGCGTTATTTTAAGGTGGTTTTTTTTTTTTTTTTTTTTATTTTTTGCTGTCCATTTTCAAGCAGCACTTGAGTGTCAAGTGTGCAGTATGCATGTTACCCTGGAGTAGAGTATTTGGGCGGGACTGGTGATTGACACTGCTTCAACAACAAGAGATTCCCCTCATTGTTTATGGGCTGGGCTGCATCGGATTTGAACCTTGTGGTGGTGTATGACCAACAAACAATACAAGAAACCTTTTCAAGACCAAACAATACAATCAATTTTTTGTTGATCATTGCGTGTTTCGGAGAGAAGAAGAGAGAAGTCAGCTGTCAACTTCCTCATTAGCATAGAATTTGTGAAATGTGAAGTGATGGACTGCTCATGCACAGCACAGGACTTAAAACCCTGATTAAACCCCTGAGGGGAAGATCCAAACGTACCAAACCACACGTACTGTACAGACCACCTTCATTCCTCTTCCCCTCCCTGTTTCGCTTTCTCCCTTTCAACAACAACTCCTCCCTTCTTGTGTCTCACCTGCTCGTTTACCATCACTCTTATAAACCCTCTCTGTCTCACAATCCGTCAGACATTGGGCACCTATTCTGATTGTCGTCGTCTGTCTTTGTGTTATACTTCATCCAATGGGCCCGTCATGGACCCCTCACAACGCGATGCGGAGCCTGCGTCATTCACTGCGACTGTGTCCGATAACACCACCACCACCACAACCACCACAACACAACCTACGACCGCGATAAACACATCCAGCTCTAATTATCCTGAGTTCTCTGCTTTTACTCATACTCAGACTCTCCTAACCGACCACTCCATCGCCACTCCGCATCCACCATCTCCCCCCGATCGTGTATCGTCGCGCTTATCGCCCCCCGATCCCCCCGCGCGTTCGCATCCGCCCCCTCGGCGCATCCCCAGTTCTGGTTCCCTGGCGGATGATCGCCGCAAGTCCACCCCGGGCTTGAAGAAGCGCTCATCAACCGCATCGCTGCACTCCAACCGCGGCGCCTCGGCCTCTCCGCGTCCGACCACCGCGTCGCGACGCTCCTCCTCCTCCCCCTTGGGGTCATCTCCGCCGACCGCCGCCGCCGCCAACAGCATGCCCGCGGCCACCGCGACGGAGCGCTCCCTGCCCACGGCGGCATCGATCGCAGCCGATTTCCTGCAGAAGGAGATGAACTGGCATCAGTCCACCGACGTCCAAGCCTCCACCCTGGTGCTGCTACATGATGCGTGCTACGGCCATCGCTTCGCGCGCCCCCGCACCTCCCGTGCCGCCCTGAATTCCATCGTCGAACGCCCGGAGCGCATCCAAGCCACCGTGCTGGGCATCGCGGCCGCCTACGTGCACCTGGCGCGCCGGCATGCCGGGGGTCGACACGCGCCGCACCCGGAACTGGATCCGCGCCAGCTGCCCGTGCCGCCCTTCCAGATCCGCCGGACCGCGCGCGCCCTGTCGCTGCAGTCGCCCGCCGTCGCCCATGTGCACGGGTCGCAGTGGATGGAGGAGCTGAAGAGCATGTGCAATGCGGCGGAATCGCGACTCGCCCTGAACGGCAAGGAGCTGGTGCGACCCCGCAGCGCGGGCAAGGACAGCACCGCTGCTGCGACTGCCGCCAACAGCGCGCCCGCCCTTCATGAAGGGGACCTCTATCTCTGCGCGGAGTCGCTGGCAGCCTTTGAAGGCGCCCTGGGCGGCGTGACGGAGGCCGTCGATGCGGTCTTTGGGACGAGCCCGACCAAGCGAGCGTTTGTCTGCATCCGCCCGCCAGGCCACCACTGCTCCTCGGGCCACCCATCGGGGTTCTGTTGGATCAACAATGTTCACGTGGGCATCGCGCATGCGGCGATGACCCATGGTCTGACTCACGCCGCGATCCTGGACTTCGATCTGCATCACGGCGATGGCTCGCAGGAGATCGCCTGGGACCAGAACTTGAAAGCCGGCACCGCCGCCCGGAACGCTGCGGCGCACAAGAAAACCATGGTGGGATACTTCAGTCTGCATGACATCAACTCGTATCCCTGCGAGACGGGCGACGCGGACAAGGTGCGCAATGCGAGTGTGTGCATCGACAAGGCCCACGGCCAATCGATCTGGAATGTGCATTTGGAGCCCTGGAAGACCAACCAGGAATTCTGGGAGCTGTACACGACCAAGTATAGCATTCTGTTAGAGAAAGCGCGCGCATTCCTACGACTGCATACGCAGCGACTGGCCAGCGCCGCGAATGGTCCCCCGCCCAAGGCGGCCATTTTTCTGTCTGCTGGGTTTGACGCCAGCGAGTGGGAGGGGGCCGGCATGCAGCGGCATCAGGTGAACGTTCCGACCGAGTTCTACGCCAGATTCACGGCGGATGTGGTTCGGCTGGCGAACGAAGAAGGGCTGGGAACGGACGGGCGCGTCATTAGTGTCCTGGAGGGCGGCTACAGCAATCGCGCGCTGACCAGTGGGGTGCTCAGCCACCTGGCGGGGCTGAGCGAGACCCGGGAGACTGTCGAGGACCAACAGATCGATCGCTTGGCATCTGAGATGACCGACCGTCTGGGCTTGTCTGACACCCTGCCTGTGGAGGTGGTGTTACCCCAACCTGGTTACGACAGCGGGTGGTGGGCGCCGGGGATGCTGGAGGAACTGGAAGCGCTGGTGTATCCGCCGTTGGCGCCTGCCAAACCCCGGGAGAAAGCGGCGCCGACCTATTTCCAACCCACCCAGTCCTTTACCGCCAAAGTCGTGAACCCCTCGCGCGACCGCCGGTCGATAGGCTCTTATTACAGCGTCGAGCCCGAGGCGCGCCCGCCCTTGCCGCCGGTCGGCTGGGCCACGTCCACCCACGAGCTTTTCAAAGTGCTGATCCCGACGCATCGGCAGACGACCAGCTGTCGGCCGGAGGAGCTGAACGCAGAGGCATCGCGCCTGCGACGGGAGCGGCAGGCCGCCACGGCGGCGGCTCGCAGCGCGACCCCCAGCACCAATAGCGCACCGCCCGCACCGCCGGAGGACAACCGGATGAAACTGCGGGTGCGCAAGCCCAAGCCCTCGTTGCCGCCCAGCCCCCAGGCTGAAACGCCGAAACGGCCAGCGGTGCGCAGCACGCGCAGGACGACCATCGATGCCCCTCCGGAGCGGGGGCAGCAGACGTCACCGGTTGTGCGGACCGCGCGGAGGAAGAGTGCGGTGTCCGCCAGCCCTTCGGTGGCCGCATCAGCGGAAAGCGATGTCAGTGCACAGGAGCGGTCCAAGGCCGCGGCGGTCGCTGCCACTGGTGCGTCGAGGGTGGGCTCGCGATCCAGCACGCCCCAGCGTGAGGGTGCACATGGTGCGCCTCCTGTGCCACGAGTGCCGCCGGAGTTTCAGCCTAGCCTGGAGGACCAGGAGAGCAAGGAGGAGAGCAAGGACACCGGCGTTGATATCGACAATCTGGCTGCGGGGGTGCGCAAGTTGCATATCAAGTTGAAGGTCCCATCCCCGGAAGAGAATACCGCTCGCGAGCGACGGGCCGCGGAGGAACGGAGGCGTGCGAACGGGGCCAAGGTCCCTACGAAGACTCCCAAGCCCCCCCGGTCGCCGAAGCGGGCGGGCGCGAAGAGCAGCTCGGCTGCGTCTGCGGCCACGGTGGGTAGTCGGGAGGGAGGTGTGCGCGGCAGCAGTGAGGCGGAGGCCAAGCCGCAGCCGCAGCAGCTGATCGGGGAGGAGGGGGAGATCAAACCGCAGCTGACCGGGCAGGAGACCACATCGCAACAGCAGAAGACGAAAGCCCCTGCATCAGTTATGTCCCCGTTGTCGGTGGTCTCGTCGCCGGTTTCGGGGGGTGGCTCTGCAGGAGGGAGTTGGAAGCATTTCGATGGACCCGCGCGAGACGCGGTGCTGATGTCGCCGCCGCTGACTCCGGGGCAGCCGCAGTCGAGGCTGTATCTACCACCGGCGTCCGAGCCCCTGGGGAACGGGCTGCCTGTGTTGATGTCGCGGGGGCCGATTCGGTTTGCACCGGCGGGCAGCACTGGGGTTGGGGTTGGGGTTGGGGTGGGGGTGGGGGTGGGGGATAAGAGGGAGAAAGGGGGACATCAAGCGGAGGACCATTGATTGAATGGTGTATTTGTGGAGAGAAGGCCTATGCTGTAATTTGCTGACCTAGTTTGTTTTGACGTGACGTGTTGTGATATACCCCTTGACTAGCTTTTTTATTCTGCAGAACTTGAGTGGTACGGTATTATCTCCGTGGCAATCTCCGCCATCAGATAAGTGGGTGGGTGGTGCACCGCCACGCTGAGTCAGTTTCAGTGACTCCCATCTCCGCTCCGCATCTTCCAGCAACCGCCAGAAGACATGAGTAATTAAGAACATCGCCTTGCCTTGCCTTGCCTTGGCGTGCCTTTGCCTTTGCCGATAGCATTTCTCAGCCACCCACCTTCTTTTTAAACACCAACTCTTTCATTACACCCAACCCATACCACTCCTTATACCCCCGAACACACCACACCCCCCAAAAACCTTCCCAAGAAAGAAAAGCAAGAAAGCATGTCCACCCTCCCCACAAGCCCAAGTGGCAACGCCCGGGAAATGCCCGAAACCGACCTCGACAGCATCGGCCACCACTGCGACCTCGCCTACTGCCACCAACTCGACTTCCTACCCTTCCGCTGCGCCTCCTGCCGGGGCGTATACTGTCTCGACCACCGCACCGAATCCGCCCACCAGTGTGCGCGTTCCGCCGCAGCCCCAGCCGCAGCGTCAACCACCACCACCACCACCACCTCCTCCTCCTCCTCCTCCGCACCGCAAACCAAACCGACCATCCACAACACCGAACAATGCAGCCACCTCACCTGCAAAACCCTCATCCACACCCTCACCGAACCAGGCGTCCGGTGTCCCGAGTGCAGGCGGGAGTACTGTCTCAAGCACCGGTTGAAGGAGGGACATGCTTGTTCCCCGTTACCCTCACGGGGGGGTGGGGGTGGGGGTGGTAAGGCAGGCGCAGGCGCCGACACGTTGAAGGCGATGTTCGCGCGGGTGCGAGGGAGTTTCACTACCTCTCTCTCCTCTACCTCCGGGGGTAGCAGCGCAGCAGCGGGGAAGGGCCCAGGGGATCCAGCTGCCACCACCAAGAAGAAGAAGCCCGTCAGCCGCGCGATGGCGGTGAACGCGCTCAAGCGCACGGCGAAGGGGGATGCGAGTGTGCCCGTTGAGCGGCGGGTGTTTCTCTCTGTGGAGGCGGCGGCTTCTCCGACGAAATCGGCGGCGGCGGCTGCGACAGGGGCGGCAGGGGCAGCGGCGACAGGCGCGTTCTGGTTCGATGGGAAGTGGAAGGTCGGGCGGGTGCTGGACGACGCGGCGCGGCGGCTCGGGGTCGAGAATGTCAATAACCGGGTCGCTGGGGAGGAGGATCGCTTGCGCGTGTTCCATGTGGATGGCGGGGTGTTTTTGGAGTTTGGGGATACGTTGGGCGACAAGGTGGTCGCCGGGGATACGTTGGTGTTGTTGCGCGGGGCAGGGGTTATTCTTTGATTGGGGGAACGGATTTAAGCTGATTTGGGGGGGGGTTTGGGTTTGGCTTTCGGTTTGGGAGTTGGAGTTGGGCTTCGCGTCGCATCTAGCATCACTTCGCATCGCATGCTGAGTACTTACCACCCTATATACCACTGCTTGTTGCTTTCAGAGACCTGCATATCTATCATATTGGGGGGGGGGGGGGGGGCACATATCTATCCCAGTAAAGCCACTCGATCTATACTGTAACAGCTACATGCACCGAAACCCGAAGATTCAAGAACAGCTGCCAAACCCCGCAATCCAGCTACACACTCATCTTCATCTTAATCGCCCTATGCGGTTGATACCCCAACACCTCAAACTCCTCCTCCCGCCACCCATCCACAACCCCACTCCCGCGATCCGCCCGCGAGATCCGCACCTCCGGAAACGCCGTCGGCTCGCGCGTCAACTGCTCGCGCAACGCCTCCATATGATCCAGATACACGTGCGCATCGCCCAATGTATGCGTCAAACTGCCCGGCACCAGATCCACCGCGAACGCCAACATATGCGTCAACAGCGCATAACTGGCAATATTAAACGGCACGCCCAGCCCCATGTCCGCCGAGCGCTGATACAACAAACAATGCAGATGACCCTTGCCCCTTCCCTTGCCGTCCTCCGTGATGCCCCCCGGGTAACTCACGTAAAACTGCGCGAACATGTGACACGGCGGCAGCGCCATCTTGTTGAGGTCCGCGGGGTTCCACGCGCTCATGATGATGCGGCGGTCGAAGGGGGTCTCGCGCAGCTTGCGCACCACCTCCGCCAGCTGGTCGACGCCCTGGCCCGCGTAGTCGGTGGACGCGTCGACGTATTCGGCGCCGAAGTGTCGCCATTGGAACCCGTACACCGGGCCGAGGTCGCCTTCGGCGCGGTGCGAGAGGCCTACGCTGTCCAGGAAGGCGCGGCTGCCGTTGCCGTCCCAGATCTTGATGCCGGCTTCGGAGAGCGGGCGGGAGGAGGTGCAGCCTGAGATGAACCAGAGGAGCTCGGCGAGCACGGCGCGCAGGAACACGCGTTTGGTGGTGAGGAGGGGGAGGATTGGTGTGTATTCTGGTTGGTCTGGGCTGGTGGAGGCGGCGGGTTTGGACAGGCTGAAGCGCATCTGCGGCGGCGCGAAGATCGACCGTGTGCCGGTGCCCGTCCGGTCGGGCCGGTTCTCGCCTTGCGACAGGATCGTGCGGATGAGGTGGAGGTATTGGTGTTCTTCGTGCGAGGGGTCGTGCGGTGGGTGGAGGGGGGCGGTTGGCGGAGGGGGAGGGGTCGAGGTGGTGGAGGGGGGGTTGAGGGCGGGTTGAGGGGTCGGGGCGGATTCGGCGGAGGGTGGCATTTTGATGGTCTGTTGGTGGGTTGGTGGTATCCTCGGGGTATGTGAAGGGGTGAGGTGGTGGTTTGAGGTTTGGGGGAAGAGAGAAAAGTGTATGGTTATGGCGAGAATGGTGGTCGGCGGGGGACGCGGTCGCGACGCGCCGCGAAGTCACGTGGGCTGTATTGCCCGATTGGGTGTCTTCTGCGTGTTCACTGTCTACATGTCATCTTCAGGCAATGATACTCGTACTACGTATGTAGTTACAACCACCATTCTACCCGAATGGCTCAATCAATCCCTCCCGACCAGTGCATTCATGTGACCCTTAACCCACCCAACCACCATGGCAGATAATCCACCAAGACCACCACAAGCTAGCTAGTTACGCACAAAGCTCTACTACCCCCCCGGACAGCACAGTACAGGACAGGACAGGACAGCACAGGACAGTAAAACCAAACCAACCACTCCCACTCATATATAGTTACCATCCTCACTCTCATTCCCTGTGACCATAAAGCAAAAACCAATTCCTCTCACCAGACTCACCACCAAAAAAACAAAAAAAAAAAAAAAAAAAAAAAAAAAAAAAAAAAAAAAAAAAAAAAAAAACACGTGGAGAGCGCGGACCAACCTGCTACTATCCCCCCACCACCGCCCAATTCTCGACCAGGATCACGAACTAAGTTGACTACTACTATGTACTAGTAGCAGAGTAGTTCCAGGGCGTACCAGCGCCGGGGCCCGGGGGTTTAACGATGCGTGGTTAGAATAAATCTGATGATGTGCGAGTGAACCATGGTACTGGGTTCGGGAGGGATTCATTATGGAGAATTGGAGCGAAGAGGAAAAAGGACAAAAGCGCGCAGACGCCAAAGGGCAAAAGCAAGGCACGAAGAATGGTCCGTGTGTTTTTGGCTCTAAAATATTTCTCCGAGGTTCTTTGGTATCGTCAAGTGGTTTTTTTTTTTTGTTTTTCCCCCCGGTAAGTGAGTGCAAATGCGGTGAGTGCTGCTTGTCTGCCGCACACACATTTGCTTGTCACTACGGGGGAATGGGAATATTATTCACAGCAGGTTTAAGGTTAGGTTTGAAGTCAGGGGAGAGGAAAGTTAAGTTGTTTGTCTGTCCAAAGCAAAACAATCAATTATGATGAAGTAGAAGATAACATCAGTCCTTGACTCAACTCCAACAAAATTACAAATTACAACAACTTACAACTTACATCATTTACACCCGCCCCTTCCCTTCCTTTCCCTTTCTTCACACTGATACACTCAGTGAGTCAGTAGTCGTGTAGCCTTGCCCCCTCTCTGTTTGAATCTGTTCCATCCGACCCCCCCATTGTCAACCCCCCCCCCCCATAAACAGTAGAATGAACCAGTAAATCATCAATTCTTCATCATAAATTAGCGGTGCTGTCGTCAAAGTCAATTAAAGATCGTGCCACAGTCCCCCATAGCACGTCCAGGCGAGCCATCCATAGGCAACCCCCAGAAGAATGAGAGTATAATAAGCCAAAGAGGTGGGCGCATGCATGCCTTCGTCCGTTGCCTGAGAACACTGCGATTCAGCCAACGTCATCGTCAAACCGGCCAATTTCCAAACCCTGCCCCAACCCCGTGGATAATGCTCTCCTGCTGAGATCCCTCTCCCGCAGTCTGCCCACCACAGGAGAAAAAGAAGTAAAATAGTATGCTGCTGTCCGGATCCGCCATCTGCCCCGTATGGTCTGTTCCCGTCCCAACACTCGAAGAGAAAAAAAAAGAGAAATGCACAAAAGAGATTGTCGACCGCCGAGTTTCCGTGTTGTACATGTTGGCGAGATCCGAGGAATTCGCTTCAGTCCGGGACGCGTCGTACACAACACAACGTATTGGCCGTAGCGACAGAGAAGGAAAACAGAAACCACAAGCCGTCCCGAGATACGCCGATTCCCAGTATGTCCGTCCGCACGAGAGGGATCCCTCTTTCCTAACGACCGGCCCCCCGAGGGTACACTCCCGGCCGGGCATTCTGATTAACCCCCTGGAAGTAGTTCACGGCCAGTTCGGCGGCGTCTTCCCGGGCATTGTCGAGGTTCTTGCCATCGTACCAAAACCGAGCCTTGAATAACATGCCTTTGACGGTGACCGAGCTGGACCAGGCCGTGCGACCTCCTGCAGTAGAGTGGACGGATCTGTCAGTCACTGGTACCACTTTCCACGGCCAAAAGGACAAAAGTCGGTGAAGAGGGGGTAGAGGGGCTGGTAGGCATAAACATCGACTCCACTCTTTGTCTTCCTCGCTCGGTGTCGAAACGCACGTCTTCGAAGATACTCAGGACGAACTGGAAGATAGTCTGCTTACCTCGACGATCGGAGACAAACACGAAATTCGGAGCAGGGACACCGCTCTCTTTGCAGTGATCTGGTTTCCGAGGGTTAGTTGACCGGATCAAAAGTCAATCGACGTAACTCCTGAGGGATTGCAGGAAAGTGGGGCTTACCCTCCAGTCTCGCTTGCCATGTTTTCCCCTGGGATGGCGTAGTGTCCGCATACAAAGCATGGGCACCGGACATTGTGAAGAGTCTCGTCGATCAATGGCTGGCGGCGGGTTTTTTTTTCCCTGGCTGGCGGGACGGAGAGAGGGACACAGTGGGTTGAATTTCTGGGCTGCGTTGAGGCGGAGTAATCTCTTCTCTCTCTCACGCTCCGGAGTACCTAACAATAGCCAGCAGTTGTCCCAGTTCCAATGCTGGATGTTGGATCGGGCCTAAAGGCAAAGCGTAACCGACAGGATAATTAAATCAATCGGGTTAGGTAGGGTCTTGTCCTGCTTGACAAGCACGAAACGGCCAGGAGATTCGACCCACGAACTCAATTGACGGTGGGGTCTGCAACAACCAGATAGAGACAATAGAGAAACCAAACGAATATTATAAGCAATAAGAAATTCTCTGCGCGGGTCCCTTCCAGGTTGTTCTTGCAGTGCGTCTCGGACTTCTTTTTATTTTCTAAAAACCATCGGGACAGTCCTCGAGGGATATGGGAAGCGGGGAGTCATATAAACTGTGGGCCATCCCTCAAAGCCCCAGAGGGGAGTTTCTGTGCAAGACAGTTTCGGCGTGTCAAACACGGCACCTAATCATCAAACCTAACAGACGGGCTTATGCATATGTGGCAGGTAAACATGGCACGGCGTCAGCAAGTTCCCCCCCTCCATTATCCTCCACTCAAGGCACGTCAAGTAGCATGGAGAACCTGCGGATCATTCTGAGGCTGCAAGCTGGAACGGCCCGCCGCACGACGACTGAGGGTGTGCCCTTTGAAGAAACGCCAGAGACCATGGAGGATGGCCGCTAGCCCCCACCCAAGCCCGATGCATCGACTGGCCAGCAATTGTAACCAGAGACCAAGACGGCATGTTGTACAAGGCAAGTATGTCAGTTCACAGCCAGTTTGCTGGCCAACTCAGCAAGACCGCAAGAAAGACCACCAACCCCTATCGACGGCGTGGCTCGCGGCTCTACTCCCGCTGCTAGGGGGGTGGGGGGGAGACATGCTGGTGCTGTTTGCGCTTGCGCATTCCCTCGCTTGCTCGCTCTTTCTTTCTCGCATATCCTCTGCTCCTCCGCTTCCGTAAGGGCATGGGAGAACATCGGGTATGAACAAGCCACTTCGCCTCATAGAAGCTCTTCAGGACAGGGACCCCCGTCCCTTCTGGAAGGAATACACTGGTGGAGGCCGGCCTGGTCTAGTTGCCCAAAAGCGGAGGGAAGCCCCATAGGACGGTCGAAGGACGAATGGAAGCCAGATATTGGATCGAGGTAAACCTCCATTGGACCACTCAGCAAATTCGAAGCGGGCCCCGAGGTCCTGCTGCCAGCTCATCAACGATTTAATGATTTCATTCAATTCGGACCGAAAGCGTAGCCCTGATTCCATCCACTCGTTGCCTCCCCGTCAGCCCTAGAATCAAACGGTTACAGACCGGGCCGCTCTGCATGAGCTCATCCCTGGGGGAGGGGGGGAGGGGGGGGGAAGCCGGAAGCTGCAGACGCTAGGGTGACCAGGGCTTGCTCGCATGCTGTGACTATCGCGCGGCAAGTCAACCTTCACGGGTGACAGGGATGCAGCCGAGAAAGAATCAAGAGTCAGGTCAGAATTAGCGTGGACCAGCCCAGCTGGCTCTAAGTACCGGGGAACGAAGAAAATTATTATCTGTCTCTGCAGGAGACACCAGATGCCAGCGAAGAGGAAAGAGCATCGGGGTCTACTCGACCCAGACCAATTTTCACCATAAACGCCAGTATGATTCGTTGCTTTCTTTCTGGCGCGTCAGTTGGGCATTCATACGTGTGCTTTCATTCGGCCCTTGTCGCATTTTCATTTCATTTCTGATTTCTTTTTTTTTTTCTCTCTGGGAGTCTGGCCCATGCGGCTGTTTTAGAATTAGAACCATGACGCTGGAGAGAGGTAGGTATCTCTTTCAATCTGCAACATGACAAGTAGATCGACTTGTGCGAAAGCATGCCATAATGACAATGGGGAAAAGCACCTGCATAAGACAGCAAGACAGCAACGAACCATTAGGCTAGGCGAGAACGGAGTAGTAAGCTGATTGATAGCTCAATCGCTAGCCAGCTAGCCAGCGCTAAATGGAGAAAAAAGAATGGAGAAGGAGAGATGAAGCGGGGAGAAAAGGAAGGAGAGCAACAAAGACAAAGACAAAGACAAAGACTGGTACGCTTCCGAGGCCCGGCGACAAAAACAATCAATCGATCCATGGAAACAAACCTCGCCTGGCCCCGCAACGGCCTCAGGCAAGCGTGCTGCTTGCTGCTACTCAATAGCTTTTTTTGGTTTTCAGAAGCTTCTCAGAAATTTCCCACTCATTGTACGAACCAGGGACTTCAGGGACAGATTTGGGCGCAATCCTTCCCACCCCCCCCTCCCATCGCGCATTGAAAGGAAGACCGGGAAGCCAACAGTCTTGACCCCGTCAACTCCACCTCACAGTTCCTTCATCTGCACGGCTAATCTTGGTCCAGACCGGGGTAGAAAACAAGTCAGGCAGAAATCCATCCATGATTCATCCATGATCCATCCATGATAATTCCATGCTCTCCACTTCCCCTCAGAAGCGAGTGACAGCTTGCACAAATGGACTCTCTTTCTTAGAGGTTCGCGGTACATGCATCATTCAAAAGTGACTCGCGTAAGCGTCAGTCCACTAGATACATTCGGATTATCCCAAAATAGTCTTAGTCGAAGATAACTATCAGCCTAGCCAGGCGAGGCTGAAAACTATGAACCAACCGATTGTCCTACATACAACCCCCTCCCCTCTCACGCCTGCCAGAAACGAGCAATATAACATGCATTCATGCATGCATGACCCTCCGGTTCCTGTTACACCTAATTAGACACTAGATAGATAAACAGATAGACATCAGGCCGGACTGGGCTTCCGATTACCGCCCAACGCACCCATGTCTCCGTTGACAAAAGCACCTGGTCGGCCCACCAATATGCAAGATGACCTTGAGGCCAGGGGTGAGGACGCCATGGTCAGGGTTTCATTAAGTTCCTTAGATTCAAGGAAGGGGAGACGCCGACGCGAACATCCGAATGAAGGATCACCACGTCATATCACTGTTCAACTCGTCCCAGACATCAGCTCAGGCTGATCCCCGTCGATGGAACACCTCATCAAGGAACCGCCTGGGACCCATGAGCTCGATGCTCTTCGACAACGTTGATCGCACGGGATGGATGAGTTGCGAATGCTTTTTCGAATGCCATTTCCGGCGAATACAATCGTCGACTAGTACCACTAGCCCTGTGGCAACAATCACACTATGCACTAGTCAGCCTCAAACTCAAAACTGGCAGAAGACCAAGAAGGATCCCTACTCGGCAACGTCAGGCATCTTCTCGTACACGGCCGGATCACTGATCCACATGGAGGAAGGAGGAACCCAGCCGCCCTTGCGCTCCTCCTCGACGGCTTCCATGGGAGCGAGGATTTCGGGTACGATATGGGCGACGGGCTTGGAGGTGCGCAGGTTGATCAGGTGATACGACAATTCCCGCAGGTCGCCCTCTCTTCGGCACTCCCGTCTCCATTGGTATCTCGTGGACCAATACTCAAACTCATATCGCTTCGATTGCCCGGCACCTCGGCGTCTCAGCTCTACATGAGCATAGTTGGAAAACTCCAACAACGTGCTCTCGGCGAGTACGGACGGATGGCGATCCATACCAGTCCTGGTCTCTAACTGTTTGTCCTCCCACTCTTCATCGTTGTCATCTGCTAATTTGTACCCTGAGTCCTGGCGCCTATGTTCCGCAACGGGTACAGATCCATGTCCATTTGACCCAGGCCGCAAGCTAGCCAACACACTGCTCCACGACTTTCGAAAGGCCGCATGTCTGTCGGAGCCTGGCACCGACCTCCTTTCCGAATGACATACTTCTCGTCCCGAATCGCGGCTGTAGCGACGGAATGAGAATTTTCGCGAGAACAGATCATACATGCGGAGATGAAATAAGGTCACGTCCTGTTGGTACCCCCCACGTTGCGGAACCATGGTGTCGACCCGCAGGTTCATGTTGCCATCCAGCGTCGCATCGTCATGTCGGACCAGAAGCCGTCGTGACGAGGGGAACAAATGTCCGAAGGTGGACGGATTTGACGGGATGACATCCGGGGAGAAGATATCCAATTTACGGTCGGTTACCTGGTAGCGCGGCGGTTCAGGAAGATCATCAACGGAGGGATTGGTGGACGTGTAGGTCGTAACCGAGGCTTTGGGGTCGTCCTCCCCATCGAAGGCCATCGTGACCCCCGTCATAGGAGTGGGTCGATCGCTGTAGATCGTAGGGGCCGTGCTTTTCGAACGGTCCGAGGCATCACTGTTGGTCGAACTTGAACTTCCGCCGGACTTTGGACCACGCTGACAGGAGGATGTACTGTAGGAACCCATGGTGACGCTAGTATAGTGATATTAGGATGATCGGCTAGGATAGGGTCGTGGAGGGCAGAGCAAAGGAACCTGCTGAATGAATGTGCAGGGGGGGTAGCGGTGGGAGTACGGGGCGTATAGTAATAGTAGTAGTGCCTTTTGGGTATCGTTTTTGTTTCAGCCGGACAACACTGGTCGCGCTTCGATGCCCGAGTCGGAACCAGATTATAGCTCGGCTGTGACACTGAGATCCCAACCACGGGGTAGTCTAGAAAAAACTTGCTGGGTATGCAGAAGGAAAACTCGAAAGACTAGCGAGGCCAACATGCAGGTAAGAGGCAGAGCCTGTATGTATACTCACACCACAGCCGGAATCGATCTCGTGGTTCGAAAGTGTTTGACTTCCAGCCGCACGTCCAGCCAACCCGACTCTCGTTTGCGCAGGGCTTACCAGACCGAAATGAGGCAGGCAAGTATCCCAAGCAGGGTAGAACTAGGTGGTCATTTGGTAGGGACAGCAGGCTGAAGGGACAGGCGGGGAGGAAGCTGATAGGGAAGTTTGGGATTGTAGGTAAGAGAATAAATAATAGTAACAATAAAGACAGCGGTAAAGGAGAGGGTCTGAGAGGGTCTGAAAGGGTCTGAGAGGGGAATTTGTTCATTAATCCAGTCGCCGTCGGTTCAATTCGCTTCCATCCGTCACAAAGAGAAGAAAGAGCGGGCAGTGCGAGTCGGGCCCCAACTAAACCAAATCAAGTCTGGGAGGGCGATCCGAGGGGTACGAAAGGAATGGATGGGTGGATGGATGGATGATGATGGGGGCATTGGGGCATGGAAGGCATGGAAGACATTGGGGGGCATGGAGGGGGAGGAAAATGTGTGAAGGGGGGCCAGAGATGGAACTGAGCATAGCAGATGACGCCAGGTCCGAGACTGGGTGTTTCATCGAGTCGCATACACGTTGAGTAAAAAATCGAAAGAGAAAAAGCAAAAAGGGAAAAAGAAAAAGAAAAGCAGAAAATAGAGAAAAACCGATTGGAGGGAGAAGGGCCGTCCGTGTGAGAGGGTAAGAGTCGGAAAGCTGCTGATGCGCGCGTGTTGTCGGATAAGTTCGTTGACTGGGTGGATGGCAGGATGGATCAATGATTGAATGGAATAGGAAAAGAGGGGGAAGGAGAGGAAGGAGAAGCAGCCACGTCGGCTCAGGAGGAAGTACTCCGTAGTGACGATGAACACCAACAACTAAACAACTAACTCACTAACCAGCGAACAACACATTACGGAGTAACAACAATGATCGGGTGCTCTTGTCTCTGTTTCTGCCTCATCAAAGTGAACTAACTGTTTCCCTACTTAGGTATGGCAGGCAGGGACTGTAACCCCCAACCAACTGGAGTTATGCCGATTTACGTACTTGCGGTATTCCTCGCACATCTTCCTCCTCTTTCCCGGTTCTAGTTGTGGTTATTGATGTCGCGCACGTCCACCTCGTCAGCAAGAATGTGTCTCCAGTACAGCCTCAAAGCCTTCATGTCCAAGCCCAGCTTCGACGCCTGAGCCGTGGCGAAGGGGGACGGATACTACTCGCGGAGGAGATCAAGGCGCAAGGCATCTCGCTCTTTCTTCCTCTCTCACAAGCACAACCATCCAACTCGGCTCATCCCATACGTGGTTCTCGGCAGAGGTCTTACCTCGATCGCTGCGATCGTCTCGTTCTAGAATCTCACTGCTGGGCGATTAGTCTGCTACTGGCTGCGCTGTTCCCGCTCGGGCTAAGATGATCGCAAGTCAAGTGCCTGCTACACTGGCGACGATATTCTCCGGGCCTGTAGGATGGGCGAACGCGGAGGATTACGGATGACGACCATATCGCTGTTGCCTCCGGAGTTCACAGGATCATCAATCAGGTTGTGACGGAAGTCCTCACCCGGCCCAGGTTATGTATTGTCCCTGCAGGGAATCTGCGACTACTTGACCGTTTTCACACGCAAAGGGCCTGTTCGTCAGGAAGTGGGGGTGCGAGCGGTTGCCAGTGGTCATTAGAGGCGATCTCCTCGACACCAATAGGGCTTTAAGCAACGATATGCATTGCACACTGCCGTAGAAGGGAAGCGTAAGAGTCCTCTAGCTACGGAACAGTAAAAGAGTAGTCCATACTAAGTTCGTGTCGACGCCTGATTGTGATGACCCAACGATCGTTAGCCACGGTCCCATGGAACCCTGATGGGGAATAGCCGGATCGGACCGACTGCCTGTGCATCGAACCGTCCCCCGACTACCTACAGTGCACTATCTCAATGTCATTGTACAGAGTAGCTCTGGGGGATATTCCCCAGGATGCAGAGTCTAAGGACGGACTTTTTCAACCAAGGAGTATAGAACTGAGGGCTGGTTGCACGGGGTTCTCGCGCATGGGAAATCAAATACGAGTGATCCCGGTTTCGGGAGACTGAGGGGAAATCCCCCGCGCTGGATGGGGGGGAAAGGGTCAATGCCCTTGCCTCGCCTATTGACTATGGCCTGATATTATTCCCCATGATAGTAAACTACCGACCACTACCAAGGATAACTGACCATTGTACTTACTGTAACAGATAACAGATAACAACGTCAACAACACAAGCAAATGGACATGGACATCTTTCATGGTCCTAGGTCCAACAACCACCATTGCCTCTAGTCCTCCAGGTTCAGCACATCACTAACCCAAGCCCGACAAGGAAATAACTATCGGGCACAGCGCGTCCCTTGCACCGCGTATAGAACCCCTCCACTCATGAGGATGCACCATACGACAAAGTACAACAAGCTGACCTATAACAATGCTATCGTATTTCCCTTGCCCACCCACCCTCCATCAAAGATCACATTGAGTCTGGATCACATTCGACCCCCATCCCCGCGGCCACTGCCCCGCAAAGAGCAAGAAACAGAGTACAGCTTCCCCGACAACCATCATGTATCCTTACGTAGTATCATGTATGATTTTTCCCCAGCATCATCATCATAATCGCCATCATCAATCCTGGAACTCAACCTCCGACAACAAGCGCAAGAGACAACAAGGTGCAGGATAGGTAGATCATTCAGTCTAACCCCGAACAAATCCAGATAGCAATGCCTACTAGCTATCTTTCTTGGTATCTGTTACTTGTTTATCGATTAGAACAAGAACCTGATGGAAGTAAACATGGATAGTGCTGGTTTCTTGACGTCACACATAGACAGACGTCTGTCTGCACAACCGGTTGAAATAACCTTCCCCCACTATGGCCACTTCGGTAGGCTTGACTTACCTCCAGGCTAGTAGTTCCGAGTCTTACCCACCTACTACTTACTACACCATTTCCAACAATTGACCCAAGGCTGCAAGTACGTACAATACATATGTAAGCCGAAAAAGCAAGCTTACTACCCTGTCAGCTGTCATGCCACCCAGACGGCTTTCCCTCCTCTCCAACCAGAGTTCGTCCGCTTCATCGCAATCCCTTCCGTGCGCTGCATTGTTACCCGATGTCATCGTATCGTCTGGTCAAGAAGGAAAGCACATCCCTGATGCGATCGAACGATGCTTTACTTTGCAGTCGATGCAACCAGCAGCACTGCATGAGAATTCTACGTACAGTCCGCATTGCACCAGTGGCCACTGAGTGGAACTTGCGGGAGAGGGGGCAATGAGAGCTACGTGCATTGCACCCCCCATATTTTTCCACCTGCAAGATTACCTCGTAGGAGGAAGACCTTCGGTCAGTGTGCATTTGTTGAGTGTAGCATGACCATTCTAGGCGGCTGAGTTGGAATTTAGACCGAGACTTCTTCATTCCCATAGAGATAGACATACGGAAAAGAGCTATGGTGATGATGATCATTATCATCATCCCCGTCGCTTATTGTCGGTCTGCTGTTGGGGAATTGGGCCATATTGAAAGACATGTGTCAATGACACATTCGAATGCCTGGGAAGATTTCTGGACGTGGCCTTTCTTTCTTTTTTGTTCTCTGTTAAAGCAGCCTCTTCAGGATACGGTGGTCTTGCTCCCAATTTTGACCGCGGCATATGTGCTCCACGCTGCGCCTCCAATAGCTGAAATCGCTGCAACTGCTTGCGTTGGGGCGTTCAAGACCATCGAGACACGCTTCCACGGCAGTCCAGCACCATCCTGACTCTTGGTGGGGGACCGAAGGGAAAATCCAGGCTATCGACACTCGTTTAAGTACTTCGTATACATCGGCGAGACACAGTCGCAGAACCCACCGCGGCGCTTGCTGATGGCGAAAAATGAAATGAATCGGTTGAACTTACACGACTATTACAAAAGTTATTACACTTTGCCCGAAACCAACCTATCTACAGCTTCACCCGGAAGGTCTAGATCGTACAGCCCAAGCCCGCGCTATAAATCAAATCTAAGAGAGACTGATCCCGAGTCAAAGATTGCGATCTCTTCATCCACCCCCATTCCCGAATCCTCTACACCAGGCCTTAAACCTGGGCCCACAGCGGTTGCGGAAGTTCGTCCCCAGGCTGAATCATCGCTTCGCGGCGGCAGCTTCCAAATCCGGCCATTTGATGTGCAAACTCGGGACGGGTGGATGGTGTCGGCGGACGGAAGCCAACGTAAGCCTCGCGACGGGCTGGTTCACCCACGGTGACCGACCACGTGTGCAATCCATAATAAGATGCGATTGAGTGGACAAGCCAGCGGCTAGTCAAGACACACGTTAGCAAGGGTTTGTTCAGCGAAATCCTCTGACAGGTGTCATCAAAACTTACCCAAAGCCAGCACCCCGATCGTCGACCGGGCTCTCGAACACCATCTTCGCGCCGTCGCGCTCGTTGTGAGCGTTCATCGCTTCTCGCATCTGCTGCAACTTCGCCTTCCGTTGAGGCGAGTCATGCATCAGCCCATTACGACCCACGAACACAACCTCATCCTCAGAGTCATCCTCATCGGACGACTGAGGGGCATCGGCCAGCCCCTCCTTTTGAAGAAGAAGCTGCTTTTCGCTCCATCGCCGAATGAAGTGTCTTATATCCTCTTCTAGGTCCTGGAGCATACCCCGAGCGCCACGTGCGTGCTTGAGCTTCATGCGCAGCTCCTTCGGTACGCGGTGCTTCTCATTACCCGCACCAGCGCCGGCCTGCTTGAGATTTTGGTCCAGTTGTGCATAATGGGAATCCCACAAGGGCGCAAGATAGTATGGCATGGGGTTGTGTCGGGTGTAAGTTGGCTGGATATCCCAGTCCTTAGAAGAAGGCGGCTCAGCCCAGGGATTGTGCAGGAGACGATCTGATTTCGAAAGCGGTTAGTGGATCTGATATGTCGACTAGCTAACGGCAGCGAGTGAAGTCTAGTGCGAGACCTCCAAGCAATGCAGTTGCAATTAAAGGGGACCAACCGTTTTCCCAACGTTTTCTACGACGGCTGCCATCCTTCCCCTTCAGGAGAGCCTCGCGCCTCTTGAGACTGTCGCGTCGCAAGGGTTCTCGGCGACGGAAGCTGACCGACGCCACCTGTTGAACATCCTTTGATGGTTGACCAAGAAGCTTGACGCGAGCCGCAGACGCGCTTTCTGTCTTCGGTATCGGGTCATCCAAAGGAATCGACAGAGATACCGTGGTCCCGAGAAAGGATGTCCGCGTCGGTGTGGATTGCGACAAGGAGACAACTCGATCGCTGGACGAGGCCGGCTCCGAAATGGTCAAGTTTTCCAGAGAGGCAGCAGCCTGTTCTGTCCAGATCGAAATGGCTCGGGCTTGCTGCGGCGACAGGTTGCCTCTGGGGTCTGCCTCGGACGGGAAACTGGGGTGAATCGCCATCGCGGGAGCGCAACGCGGTTCGATTGAATCGTGGAAGCGGCCGGAAAAGGTACGATGGAAGTAGAGCAGATGGCGGAAGGCTCAGCACACGGATGGCGTCGCAGCCTTAGGCGATGATATCTGCTAGATCGACCAACACCGAGGAAGGATATGCAGCAGTGACAGTAGGTAGAGGGCCGAACGAGTAATCGTCAAGGGGGGGAGGGGAGAAGGAAGAGCGGGGGGGCGAAGGGAAGGACAAGCAAGATAAGAGAGATAACCGACAACTGCGGTTCCCGGTCGCGTCCGCGTCCGGGGGCGAGCAATTGAGTTCCGTACGGTAAATACCTATGTGTAAGCCGCCGAGAAATTTTCGAAGTCAATCAGCCGTCCATGGACCTCCCTTTGATGGGACACGAGAAGCATCAGGTGAAGGTCATTGGAGAAGATTGAGTTCAAACCTAGCCCTACCTGCCACTTCAGGTTTGGCCTCAGGACCGCAATCATGGATGACTCACAGTGACTGGCCTGGGAGTCACTGGGTGATGTAATGGATGTAATCGGTGTATTCGATGAATGAGAACTGGACCGATCTTATGCTGTCTGGGGCCCAGGTGTCTCAGGTGGGCGACTCCCTTGGTGAGAAGTGTTGGTATTGTGGTGGAGTTCATGGAGCCTGATCTACGGTACATACTGAGTTGCTTGTACTCAGTATGAGTATGAGTACAAATGCTCACTAACCTTATTGAGTGGTTTCTACAGTACGAACTCGACAGCCAGGGCACAGTAACCCTAACCAGGAAGTCTTTTTGTCTAGGTAATTTAACTATACAGAGAGACCCCGACATAACTATTTGTTTGCTCTTGCCTTCCCAGATCTCCACTGTCGAATTGGTAATGAAGGTACCTAGCTTACTCTATATCGTCCAGCATACTGCTCAATGCTTGACATTGTGATGTTGATTAATCGAGAAAAGTGGTCGAGCTCATTGGCGTTCTGTCTATACAGAAAGAAGGATAGAAGTGCGAGCTCGCCATCACGGTCTAAGTATAGCTATACGTAGGTCGAACAGCAGTGAATGTATACGGCTGCATTGCAAGGCTCCCCGCACGATTGAGGTCTATATATTATGGAGACCAAATTAGATCTCTTCATCCAGCTAAGAGCAAGACAGATTTCCTTGATACTTTCTTGATATCTTGCGCAATTATCCAAGGTATACAGCAGCCTTTCAACTAAAGTGAATCGCATCAGCTCTGATCTTCCATCTTTCAGAAACAGAATGATCGCACATCGGGTAATGTTTAATGCCTGTACACAATGTAGAGCCATCGAGGTTCCCATATATTTGATGGGCCCACAACCTCTTCTTATTCTCGTTCTTGTGACTCGACTATAGATTGCCTGCTGACAGTTTATGCTTGGGAACTGAGCAACCTGGAGTCACGTCCCATTTACTTAATGTATGACTCAGCTAGGTGGACAACTTCACATGAATTCATTTCTTGTTTACTCAATCTTCCAGGCACACTGAATACAAACTCTGGGGTGTATTACGCTCAAGCTTCAATGGCAAGCTAACAGTCCAATAGCATGATTCTCTGAACAGTAGTCTCACACAGCCTCAGATCACCAGGAGAAGCAGTCCTAGCCTCTGCCTGAATGCCAAGTGCCAATGCCAGTCACCTAGACCTTGGAAAGCCAACCCCACTGGGCGGCTAGCGTGGTCCCTGTCTCTCATCCTCTCAAGTGTACTCCGCAGTAGAAGACCGAATTGATTTAGACTGCCATGATGCTAGTAAGACCAAGAATCAATCAATGAAAAAGGTCAGGTGGTTGCTGGAAACCTTAGTTCTGCCAAGTCGTACCAGCATCTTTTACTACAGCCCGGCCCGTGTGGGTGTGTGCCTGGCAATATTATTTAAGCAGCGTTCGTCACTGACGCAACTGGGAGGGGGCACTTGCGGTCGGTACCTTGCTCCATCACCTCTGCCTCTTCTGTTGCTCCGCCGTAACATCCTCGGTATCATTTATCCGCTTATTCCAAGCAGGATCAACAGGTTCTTTAAGTATCAAAGCTGAACCTTTGCTCACGTCTTGCATTGCCCCCTTGATACCTTTCCCATCCCCGTCTCAAAGCTGCTCGGGCAGCCCTTATCCCCGACGACTCCTCACGGTCGTGCTTATCATTAGTCGTCAAGCGCCTGTCGCTCCCTTTCTCCGCATCACTCGACCGTATATTGTTTCTTATTATCGCATCTGCTTGCTTTGATCTACCGTCAGATCGCCATGAAGCTTATCGCAACCCTTGCGCTAGGCGCAACAGTTTCCACGGCCGTATTGGGGGCTGTGCTACCGCAGCAAGAACCATTAACAGAACACAGCGTTCACCACGGGCAAGAACGTTATTTGATCGAACTTGCTCCTTATCAGACAAGATGGGTGACAGAGGAAGAGAAATGGGCTCTAAAACTGGTAAGACAATGCGGTTGAGTCCAGCCATACGAATCTCCCGCCGATTTCCATCTGCCTATTATGCTTTCCGATCACTAACCGCTCTCCTCGACGCTCGGTCTAGGATGGCGTGAACTTCATCGATATCACCGCTGAGCGAAACACTGGCTTCTACCCTACACTGAACGCCGGCAGCTATGTCCACTACCCGGTCCAGATGGAACACTCGGAGGAGGTCGCCCCACTCCTCCGCAATCTATCCAAGGATAACATGGAGAAGAATCTGGAGCATTTCACTTCCTTCCATACTCGTTACTATCGGTCAGCAACCGGCGTCGAGTCAGCGACGTGGCTTTACGAGCGGGTCCTTGATGTGATCAAGGAGTCGGGCGCCTCAAAGCATGGCGCGACCGTGGAACAATTTTCCCACCCCTGGGGTCAATTCAGTATCATCGCCCGGGTTCCAGGGCAGACAAACAACACTGTTGTGCTGGGTGCTCACCAGGACAGCATCAATCTGTTCCTCCCGTCGATTCTGGCGGCGCCTGGTGCGGATGATGATGGAAGTGGTACCGTTACTATTCTTGAAGGCTTGCGGGGTCTGCTGCAGTCAGACACCGTTGCCAAGGGTAAAGCCCCGAACACAGTTGAGTTCCACTGGTACTCGGCGGAGGAAGGTGGTATGCTGGGCTCCCAGGCTGTTTTCTCTCAGTACAAGAAAGATAAGCGGGATATCAAGGCCATGCTCCAGCAAGATATGACCGGATACATCCAAGGGTCGTCTGATGCGGGTCGCAAAGAAGCCGTCGGAATCATGGTCGACTATGTCGATCGGGGGCTGACACAGTTCCTGAAGGACGTCATTAAAGAGGTAAGGCTGAAGCACCTCGTCGCAGACATTGGAGCAGTCGCTAACATGCTCCTGTGCAGTACTGCAAAATAGGACACATCGAGACTAAGTGCGGCTATGCTTGCTCTGACCACACATCAGCGAGCAAGTACGGGTACCCATCTGCAATGGCCACCGAATCTGAGATGGAGAACAGCAACAAGAAGATTCACACAACCGATGATCGAGTCAAATATCTGAGTTTCGATCACATGCTGGAGCATGCGAAGTTGACCGTAGGCTTTGCCTATGAACTGGCTTTTGCTCCGTTTTGATACTCTTCAAGATGGTATCCATATTCACCTGTTGGCAGAGATAGTTGGTGGTATCTGAAAGCTAGATTTTTTGATTTTTCACGTCGAATTCCATATTGCCAAAGTGATTTGTGCTGTGATTACCTTTGCGTAGTTTAAACTGGCTGTGAGCTTTGGGACATTGCGGTTCTTGACTAAAGACAAGTTGTAACCATGTCATTTGATTTGACTGAATTGTAACCTTCGGTTTCTAAATCAGCATAACTTCATCAGTTGTCTTCGAGTCCAGCGCGGAAGAGTACGTACAGTACGTACAGTATGGCTGTTGAGGTGCAGTACGATAAGATAAGAAGAATAGTGCTGTAGAGCCACTCCTGGCTAGCACTGCAGACGGATTTTTCACCAAGCCCGAAGCAGACCCGAGTTGCTAACCCAAAGGAGAAGAGTAGTCCTCTCCGCCAGGCGATCACTGACTTGGCTTGCAGTGCAGAAGAATCATAATCCTTCGAAATTCCCACTCCGTTTTCGTCGGAGTCACAATTCTTTTTCTCGCCCCCGAGCCCCTCTTCTTGCTGAGAAGATAAAGTGTCTCTTTCTCCTGCTGTCGCATCACACCTTGCTTGCCTCTCAAGGATTCTCAGCTCACGGTAATCATTTTGCTCTACGTCACCGGGCGCCCCTCTCCGACGAACAAGACCCCACACCAGGTTTCAGTCCCTGCGTGCACCTGAGTACGAGGCGGTCGCGATTCCCCTCTCTCACCGTTATTGCTCAACGTTCCGTCCTTTCTTCGATTAGACCCAAGTGGCTTCGAATGAAAATCAATTCCTGCACCAGCCTTTGGCGACACTGTCTATACCTCTTTGCAGCCCCTAAAAAGCTCACTCCCTCGAAACGCACACTACACGCTACCTTACCATGGACTCCTCCATCCCCTACTCGAAAGAATTGCAATTGGCCTGTCTGACGGTGCAGAGAGCTACGTTAGCGACCAAAAAGCTACTCGAGGCTGTCGATAAAGGGTCGTTCGACAAGAGTGATTCTACCCCTGTCACCATCGCCGACTTTGCTGCCCAAGCATTGATCATTGCCGCTATTCATCATGCCTTCCCTGATGACGTGTTTGTTGGTGAGGAAAGCGCGACTGCCCTGCGATCCGACCCGGCTCTGCTCGAGCGAACGTGGGAGCTGGTCGCTTCTACTCGATTGACAGACGAGGAAAGCGATGCGCAGCTCTATACTCCAAAGACAAAGGAGGAAATGTTGGAGATCATCGACTTGGGGGCCCAGGGTACATGCGGCTCGCAGAATCGTGCCTGGGTGTTGGATCCAGTGGACGGGACGGCGACCTTCATTCAAGGTCAGCAGTACGCCGTCTGCCTGTGTCTCTTGGAGAATGGACGCCAGAAAGTTGGTGTTCTGGGCTGCCCAAACATGAATCTGGAGAAGGGATATATCCACGAGGAGATAGTAGATCGAGAAGGTTATGGGCATCAGGTATTTGCCGTTGCTGGTCACGGCGCATACATGAGAAAGATGGATACGGGCGCTCTCCTGCCTGCCCACAAGCTCGAGCCTAAACCTACCATCACAGACCCCAAGGACCTTGTCTTCGTCGATTGTGCGGGTGGATCATCGGATATCAACGTACATGCCCGCCTTGCATCTCAGCTGGGCGCCCCTTGGCCGCCTAAGACAGATCTCTGGGCTACGCAGTTGCGGTACATCGCGGTTGCGGTTGGAGGATGCAATGCCTCCATGAAGATTCCACGCAAGGCTTCTTATCGATCGAAGATCTGGGACCATGCGGGCGGGATGTTGATTGTCGAGGAGGTTGGCTGCATTGTTAGCGACCTTGCTGGTCGTCCGGTTGACTGCAGCCTGGGGCGTACTTTGGCGGGATGTCACGGGATGATTGTTGCGCCGTCGTCAATCCACCAACGGTTTGTGGACGCTGTGCAACAGATCATGTAAGACAAGGCAAGGTTGCTTAGTGGCCAGAATCGCAAGGAGTGAATTGTGAGACAGCACCGTGGAACCTCTTCCGACTGCTTCTCATGGTAGACTCATATCTCTAGCAATCGAAGGGGGCTAAGGGAAGACACAAGCGGTGATTATCTAGATGCTCTTGGTGGGTATACCATCATACACCCAAACAGAAGTTATCCAGAGCAGTCTGGTGGCAAGTCCACGTGCATTGCGGGTGGGCTGAAATGCAAGATGACGTGCCAATGAAGGAGGCAACTGGTGAAGCCAGCTTGAGAAAGCCGCATTGGTTGGAAGGCATACCTCAAGCAGTCCAGCTGCAGGCGCTTACAGGACCGTGCACCGATCGACAGCGTGAGACGTCGATCAGCTCTTTAGGAGCGACGGGTGAAAAGAGTAGCCTAGCCTAGCGAGTTTTCCAGTGGATGTTGGCTGAAGGAAGGGGTGGGGAGAGTGAAAACAGGGTTATGGCTATAGTATCGTCCCCTTCCTACATCTACTTACCAAGCAAGGCGTCCTCAGCTAAGTGAGTCTAACGTTTCTGGCGTGTCAGAAAATGAGAAAGTTGAGAGTCCAGACCGGATGATGTCATCACCAAATGCATACAATCAATCCTTCCTGAACATGAAGTATTTCGCTTTTGACAACCCACAAGAAGCAACAATAGCTGTCAAAAATGATCTCGTAGCAGCGGCGAAGTAGAGGAAATTCAATTTCAACGAGGAGGAACTCAATCAGCGTTGAGTGGGCAGGGGAATGGTTCATTGAAAAGAGTACTAGTACTGTGGCTGTTGGTCTGTCCTGTCAGGTCAGAAGATCAGGCAATGCGGGGTGCAGCCGCCGTGACGATGACGGGATGACGACCGCTCCCGAGTAATTGTTCTTCTCTTTCACTTATTATTCCTCTTCCTCTTGTCTCTTCTCATTTTCCCATCCCCTTCTGTACTCCTTCAAGTCTCGACCGCTACTCCTCATCCGTCTGTACTGTATCGACCATCCTCGTCGCAGTCCGGTGATTCATCATGGCTCCTTGTGAGTAGTACTTGAGATTCCTCGCTATACTTGGCTATTGCATATCATCACTGACTACTTTAAACCTAATCCAGACAATCCATTCGCTAGGCACGAGTCCCATAGCCGGTCTACCTTAACTGCATACCGCATTCTCGTTCCTTTGTCCTGGTTGCTGGTGTTGATTGTCGGCATCTACTATTCCTCCAACTCGCCCGACGATGTGAAGCATGGCCATTCCATTTGGAAGCAAGCCAACAAGCATATCACTGCCTTTAGCTTGAGTACTATTATCACACGCATCTACTGGTGAGTCTCCCCCCTCCCGTCGGAAGCAGACTTGATATTGACACCTTATGTTCCTTCAGGGTCATCCTTCTTATCTCTCAGGTTGGCTACGTTTATCATCTCTTCTCGCGGGATGCTGTGCTGGTTACCGGCGCAGCGAACGTGGGGACCCATTTCATTCTCAACAACCTGTTCACCTTTGCCTGGATCCTCCTGTGGACCCACAGCCATTTCTGGGGAGCGGAGATCATCCTGATTGCGCACTTCATCAACCAACACGCGACATACTGGCGCCACCGCACCCTGAGCCCGCTTGCTCACCTGTCCGCCGTCGCGGCTCCTTTCGCGTGGACCCTCATCGCGCTCTTCTGGAACGGCGCCGTTGCTGTCAACAGCAACAGCCTGCCCGCGAGGATCGTCGCAAATATATTCATCTGGGTGCTGTTCGCCGTGGGATCCGGTCATATTCTCGTGGCCCAGGATGACCTCCTCGGTTATAGTTTGAGTCTGCTGACGCTTGGTAAGTACTACATAATCGCCTGGTCGAGCCCCTATAGCCATGCTAATCTCTGGTTTACAGCCCTTGCGGTCAAGCAAGTTGGTGTCAAGGTGATCTCGTTGCAGTGGATCTTTGCCATCGTCGTCTTCGCCATCTTCTTCGTGGAATCCCTCTACATCTCCATGACCAAGTACACCGGCCGCAATGTGCTGCTCCGTAGAACTGGAGAGTCCGGTACCACTGACCGCGAAAGAGAGCCTCTCCTTAACGAGCCGACGGCCTGAATATAAGTGCTGCCCACCTGTGTTCCAAAGCCATTAGGAACACTGGCTTGCCTGTAATCCTGGCCGTGGTCAAAATGGAGTTGTCGTCGGAAAAGAGATATTTCGTGCAGATGGTGTTGCTCTTCCACTTGTACGCCAGTTCTGTGGTCCCCCTAAACGTATGTGATTCATGATGGGGTCGGGTGTTGTAATGTTGACTATGGGTCAGATGTCGATTGTCTCTCTAGTGGATTTTCCCTCCCATGTACATTTGTTGGCAGTTATAGCATGGCGTTTCTTTTCCATGGGTCCGCTGGGTGGTTTTGTCTCGGTTGGGTCGATCTGTCCCCACTGTATCCTCTCTTTAGTCTCAAATTGAAAGTGATTCGGTAATGATAACTGTTGAGGAATTTCGATATCCTTTGGAAACACTGCTGATGGTTGGGTCATCGGGTTTTAAGATTAGGTGCTCCACCGCGTGCCTGAGGAACCAAGAGCCCGTGCGGCTTCGTTTCCATTGTTTGTACGAGCGTCGGAACGACAAGAACATAAAATCAAGTGACACAATTACATCCCTTCGAAGGTTTACTTTAACTCAATTTACAGGCTCCTAAAGGTTCCTACTAAGACTACGGTACTTTTCCATCCGGAGTCCCACCAGCCAATATGTTTCTAAGCTGCAAGGATTGTGGCCCCGCCCGTTTCCCCCAGCTCTCTGGTTGCCCTGGAGACAACCACCCTCCCCACGGTGTGCCGGTCGTCAGCGCCGGGCTTGCGACTGGGTTTAGGCGCCCATAGCCTTGCCCAGTCTCTTAAGAGGAGGAGCACGGCTGACACGTTATGAATTTTGTTTGCTTGCTTGCCGTGGGTCGGTGTTGAAGAATTGATTTTCTGAAGATCGTGGTATCGTTGTTTACACCGCTTTACGTCTCCCTCCCACTCAACACTTCATCCGGAGGGTTACCACATACTTTAATCGCACGATCTTCTCAGACACATTCCTGGTAATTTCCCAGAGCATACTGGGGGACCGTTTGGGCTCGGTAACCAGCTTACCTATTGGCTGCAACTTACTGTGAGTGCTCTGTCTCTTGTTCTCCGGCTGGTTGCTGAGATGGATGGGAGAAGACGAGGCTAATTTGTATGCCATCTTCTATAGCAGCCGAATAGGCAGGATTGTGCTGCGACTTCCTAGAACGATAGACCCGAGAACCCATCACATTGGGGCACGTGCTTAGACGAAACAATCTCGAGGATTGGCCGTATCGCTGCATTTGGCCGGTGGATACTATGAACAATTGAACACGTGTGGGACGGACAATCACGATGTCGCAGCGCTATATACCGGCGCGGAGCCAAGAGGAAGAGCCACCAGCGTACGGGTCGTATGGAGATGGATCTTATCTCGACTCTTCGCCCGCGGCGTCACGTCTCCATGGCGCCACAATGCGATTGCTCCCCACGAGCTCGGCGGTAGAGAGTGATATGAGCGGAGGCACTGGCATGACCTCAGAGTATCACTATGGTGATTCATTCACTTATGACGCAGGGTAAGTCACTTTATTTGAGTTCACCCCAGTTTCTCGACTTGATGATTCTTCGGCATGCTGGCGGAGCCTTTTCTGCTATCCCCGTATACTACCACCATACTTGAGCCCCCCTTGTTTGCAACCTCCACCCAATCATAATCTGGGTTCGGAACAAGCTCAAGGTCCGGGACAGAAGAAGCCCAAACGTTGTTCGCAATTTATACCTGTGGTATAAACGCACAATGTCCACACCGTTTTAGGATCTTTGTCCATCACAACTGCCACTTGCGAAACTCTTCTAGCGGGCATAGCAACCGCAAGAAACATCCGTCGAGATGCTTTTCGAAATGTTCTATATGAGGCGTACTGTTAACAGGAATCGCAGAGCGGAACAGCAAGAGCAGTATGCTCAGAGCCAATATCAATATGACCCGGAAGACTCCCCGTCGAGACCTACATCGAGCCTTCGACACGCGCCTACCATCCCCCCACCGGTAGCATCTGCAGCCGATCTACCGCACTATGCGTCTCGCCCCGGCTCGCCTACACGCCCTTGGTCCCCATCCCGTGCACCCAACTGGAGCGGACCTCCAGCACCTCCGTCCGTGGTCGGCTCGCATTATGAGCGTGCAGATCTCAACGGCAGCCCTAGGCCGGGAACCCCGAGTTCGAGATACGGGGGCAGTCCCAGACGACCGCTTCCCCCGGCGCCACTGTTTGCACCCCCCGCTGGCTATGACGCGAGTATACCCATCGGCAACTCGGACGAGGATGTGCTTGGCGGCGGTGGTCGCAGTGCCGACCCCTACTTTGACAACCGCGCCAGCCTGCAGTCGTTCATGAGCGAATCGACGATCATCACGGACGACAAGGACGCAATGGCGAAGATCGACTTGGACGACGAATACGACGAACGCGGCGAACTGGTCGATCCGAACTTGCATTACGGCCCACCCCCGGAGAAGCAGAGCCGCCGCGGTGTCCGGGAAGCGCAGATGTCGAAGAAGGAAGTGCAGCTCATCAATGGCGAACTCATTCTGGAGTGTAAAATCCCGACAATCCTGCACAGTTTTCTGCCCCGGCGAGATGACCGCGAATTCACGCACATGCGGTACACCGCTGTGACTTGCGACCCAGACGACTACATCCAGCGAGGATACAAACTCCGTCAACAGATTGGCACGACTATGCGGGAGACCGAACTGTTCATCTGCATCACCATGTACAACGAAGATGAGATTGGCTTCACTCGCACCATGCATGGTGTCATGCGGAATATCAGCCATTTTTGTTCACGCTCCAAGTCCCGAACATGGGGTAAGGATGGATGGAAGAAGATCGTCGTATGCATCATCGCAGACGGACGCAAGAAGGTCCATCCCCGGACGCTCAATGCTCTCGCAGCCCTGGGTGTCTACCAGGAGGGCATTGCCAAGAACGTGGTCAATCAGAAGGAAGTTCAAGCCCACGTTTATGAGTACACAACCCAAGTTTCCCTTGACTCGGATCTGAAATTCAAGGGAGCTGAGAAGGGCATGACGCCCTGTCAGATTATCTTTTGTCTCAAGGAGCACAACAAGAAGAAGTTGAACTCCCACCGTTGGTTTTTCAACGCCTTTGGGCGGGCCCTGCAGCCCAATATCTGCATTCTTCTGGACGTTGGAACCCGACCCGAGTCCACGGCGCTCTACCACTTGTGGAAAGCATTCGATCAGGATTCAAATGTGGCCGGCGCTGCTGGAGAGATCAAGGCGGGCAAGGGTAAAAACATGAGAGGCCTACTCAACCCGCTGGTTGCGAGTCAGAACTTCGAGTACAAGATGTCCAACATTCTGGACAAGCCTCTGGAGTCAGTGTTCGGATACATCACTGTCCTTCCCGGTGCACTCAGTGCATACCGATTCTTTGCTTTGCAGAACGACGCCGACGGCAATGGGCCTCTGAACCAGTACTTCAAGGGTGAGACATTGCACGGCAAGGACGCGGATGTTTTCACAGCGAATATGTACTTGGCTGAGGATCGTATTCTCTGCTGGGAGCTGGTGGCCAAGAGGGAAGAGAGATGGGTTCTGCGATTCGTGAAAAGTGCTGTTGGTGAAACCGATGTTCCTGGTCAGTGACAATAAATCCGTAGCCACCTGGCATGACTAACTATCCTTGCAGATACAATTCCTGAGTTCATCTCCCAGCGTCGGCGATGGCTGAACGGTGCATTCTTCGCAGCCGTATACTCGATCGTCAATGGAAGGCAGCTTTGGAGGACTGACCACTCGCTGGTCCGCAAGATTCTTCTGCAGATCGAGAGTTTCTATCAATTTATGCAGCTCCTCTTCACGTACTTTGGCTTGGTAAGCGTTTTCGGTGATATGGACAGCGGGAGACTTACATTCGACTAGGCAAACTTCTATTTGGTCTTCTACTTCATTGCTGGATCACTTACCGACCAGAAAATCGACCCCTTCGGACACAACATCGGGAAGTACATCTTCGTTATCCTACGGTATGCCTGCATTCTGGTCATGGCCCTGCAATTCATCATCTCGATGGGTAATCGACCACAAGGGTGAGTTTCCCTCGTTCCCGGCACCAGCAGCAATTCTGACTTCCTGCAGTGCCAAAAAGCTCTACCTGTCCGGTATCATTGTGTACGGTATTATCATGTTCTACACAATTTTTTGCACGCTATACTTGATCGTCATCGAGTTCATGGCAAGATTTGGTGGATACAAAAAGGTCACTGTTAGCAACGGACTGTTTGTGAACATCGTCATGTCCATGCTGTCAACTGTGGGCCTTTACTTCTACTCGTCCTTCCTATACCTGGACCCCTGGCACATGTTCACCTCCTCCGCGCAGTACTTTATTCTTCTGCCGAGCTACATCTGTACTCTGCAGGTCTACGCCTTTTGCAACACCCACGATGTCACCTGGGGTACCAAGGGTGACAACGTGATGAACACTGACCTTGGAGCCGCACGAACCATCAATGGCACCACGGTCGAAATCGAGATGCCCTCCGAGCAGCTCGACATCGACAGCGGCTACGACGCCGCCCTGCGGAACCTCCGTGACAGGGTGGAGGTTCCTGAAGCGCCCATCTCGGAGAGCCAACTGCAAGAAGACTACTACCGCGCCGTGCGAACGTACATGGTCTCCATTTGGATGGTGGCCAACGTCGTCCTCGCCATGGCAATCTCGGAGGTCTACGGCCCCGACTCGGGCGGCACGAACATCTACCTCTCCATTATCTTGTGGTCGGTGGTTGTTCTGGCGCTCATCCGCACCATCGGATCCACCACCTACGCCATCCTCCTGGTGGTGCAGAAGATCGTCGAAGGCAAGACCAAGTTCGATGCGGGCAACCTCGCCAACGCGAGTGCAACGGCTAGCTCGTCGGGCCGGACGAACACCACGGCTTACCGGTACGGTGGAGGCGCGACGATGAAGGATAAGTTTTCGGAGGCGGGATGGACGATGAAAAGACAGTTGGGGAAGGCCATGTTCTGGAGGAAGTAGATTTCCTCTCTACCTGGTGCTCTACTCTATTTCCTTTGGTTTCTTTTTTTTTCTTATATCCCATGTGCATGACTTGATGGCATGATTTGATTTGCAGATTACTTATGTGTATGTATTGCACGATGATTGATGGATAACGGGACATAATGGATATACGTGATGCATGCCGAACACTTTGTACGTAGTATATACTACTCCGGGGGGATCGCAATCGTCCCCTCGGACACCTTCACAGCACTCCCCCTGAGATCCACATACGCGATCGTCTGCGCATCGTCGCCCATCTCCACCTCCACGCCAATCTCACTCCGTCTCCCCATCTCCACCCCCTGCACAAACTCAAACACCCTCTTCTTCTCCGTTGGGGTGCTCTCCTCCGTCAAAGATAGATAAGCCGCCAACCCACACGCCGCGCTCCCCGTCGCCGGATCCTCGACATTCCCAATCATCGCCCGCGTGCGTATCACCTCTCGGCCGCTGTCCTCCTGAACCCCCCTCACGTAGAAATAAAGCACACAATGCCCCACCGCCCACCCATCGGTGACATCCATCAACCCACTCTCCGGACCCACCACCTCCCCGCCCAGAGAGGTCGTCACCGCCTCCAACGCCGCCAACGACGGCACCTCCACGTGAACCTGCGACATGCCCTTCACGATCGAGAACACGGGGAAGGAGATTCCTTCCTGGTGTTGCTGCTGATGCTGCTCCCCCTGGTCCGAGTCTTTTGGACTGAAGAACGGCGCCAAAGACCCGTGCAGCCGCAGGAGTTCCCGTAGAGGGAACCGCTTCCCGTGCAGGTGCGGGTTATGTGCGATCCGCGCGGTGACGCCCTCGCCTGCGTCTGCGCCCTTCCCCGGTGCCGGTGCCGGGGCCGTGTTTGAGGGGATGCTGGGGTTGGGATTGGGGCTGGGGATGGGGCTTGTTGGGGGGCCAGCAGCGATGGGGATCGTCCCAGATTTGGTGATGAGGTGCGTTATCCCATTTTCTTTGTTGTGGTTGGAGGTAGAGGTAGCGGCAGGGGTAAGGGATGAAAGACGCAGGTGGAGGAACCAGACCGCGGCGCCGATGGTGGGGTGGCCTGCGAAGGGGAGTTCGGAGGTGGGCGTGAAGATGTCAATTGTGCGGTGAGTTTTGTTGCTGCTGCTGCTGCTGCTGTTACTGGAGGGTTCGGGGTGAATGAAGATGGTTTCAGAGAAGTTGAATTCGCGGGCGAGGGTTTGTTTTTGGCGTTGAGTTAGGGTTTTTGTGTTGGTGGAGGTGGAGGTGGCAGGAGGTGGAGGGACGAAGACGACGGCCAGCGGGTTGCCTGTGTAGGCTGTGCTGGTGAACACGTCTAATGTTATGTAGTTGACATGGCCCGGGGGTGGAGGTGGGAGTGGCATGTTGGGTGTTTTGGTCTGGTTTAGTATATGGGGTGTGATGCGTGGGGAACTTGGGTTGGTGGAGGAGGTTCTACAGATGCTTTTATAGACGTTGTTTACTTCGCTTGTGAGTCATCATTGTAGATTAAATGACCTGTAACTACCTACATTGTGTTTACAAATCAATGCTACAATGCTGGGGATCGTGCAATTGACGCTTGGACGATTCGTTCATGGCTCATGGCTGGCTCGTATTCCGGGTATAAGCCGGTCGTTGCATTTCTTTTTACAAGGATTTAGGTCGCTGGATGACTGGCGTACATCCATGTCCAGGTTCTGGATGTCCAACACAATGCTTCCACAGCACCAAGATCTCCCGCTCATCACATCATTAAGCTACAAGTAAAGACCATCTCACTCCGAATCGCTGTCGATCACAAATCCAGCGCGCATCCGCCGGCGCGAAGCAGCGGCAGCGACCGGGGCATCCTCATCCTCCTCATCCTGTGCGCCGCCTTCTACCTCGGGTTCGCTAGTATGTGCGGCTTCATCGTCGCGAGCAGGTCCCAACAGGTCCTCCCGATTGCGACTGAACGCGAGGTCGTCATCGAAATCCAGAAGATCGTCCAGTTCATCCCGGGGCATGTCGTCCTGTGGCGACTCCGGCGACAGATCCCCCGTGCCCCCCATGATAATATCCTCGTCCTCGTCTGCTCCGTCAGTCTGACTGACTCTCCGCTGCCGCTTGTTCTGGCGCTTGCCTTGCCCTTTCTTCCCAATGCCGTCCAGCGCTTCTGGCGGAACCCCGTGGAGCATGGCCTGTTTGATGCGCTCGGCCTGCGCTTTGCGGCGCTGTTCTTCCAGGCGGAAGAACTTCTCGTCTGCATCATCGTCCGTCTCCTCGTCACTGGCATGTACGTAGAGGTCACTCTTGATCTTCGCGATGCGAGCTCGAGCATTCTCCTCGCGGGCGCGCCGCCGCTCCTCGAGGGTTGCCTCGTCGAGGGGTTCGCTTTCATCGTCCTCATTCTGCTTGCGCTTCTTGCGCTTCTGCTTCAGCGCCGAGAGCGCATTCACCTTTGCCCGCGGATTCGCCGGAAACAAGAACCCGTCGGGTACTTCATCTTCGCCCTCGGAATCCGATCCAAAATGAATGCCGTCTTGTGCCTCGGACTGGGGCGTGTTCTTTTTGGGACCGTACTTGCGTCGGATCAGTTCGCGCGGGTCACGTCCGAGATTTCCCTTCTCCGCTTTGGCGAGATACTTGTCAATAAATGACTTCATCTCGCGCAGATACTGCGCCGTCGCCGTGGAGGGGATCACCCAAGAGGCTCCCGCTATGTCTTCCACACCAAGTCGCTCGAATTTGACGAGCGTCATCAGGAGGCGAAGTTTGGCGTTCGAGAACATGGCGCTCTGGCATGTCTCGTCTCGAGGTTTCACAGCTGCGCAACGGTCAGTACATGTGTACGATCTACACTCACCCACGTGAGGGAACCAGGGATTACATACATATCATTGGGTTGGGAATCCTTGCGCTCTCTGCACCTGCTGCGCGTAGGGCTCTCTCCTGCTCTTCCCAAGTATCTCGTTCCTCCACGGCCGACCCCAAGACGTCGCTCACCCACTTGACGAGGTCCGCATCCCCATCTAGAACCAAGGCAGGCACCATGATGCTCAGCTTCTCCTCGATAGTATTTGCTTGCTTGGGATCGATCTCCAGCTCAGCGGGGGGTCTCCGGATGGTCGGGAGCGTCTGCCGCTCGTGTCCATATTCAAGATAATAGGTGGTCGCGTTGATCTTGCTGAAGAGTAGCTCGACGAACAGCGCAGGGCGCTGTTCCAGTTTCTTGGTCAATCTCCTGATGATTTGCCGGACTAATTCCTCCCAGTCCTTGAAGATCGGCTTGCTTGAATCCAGAGCTCCGGGCCCCTTGATCATGCGGTAGAAAAGATTAATAATATCAAGACGGAAGAGCAAGACGCTCATCTCCTGCTTGAAGGCGATTCGGTAGAAATACCGGTGGGCTCGTTTCAGTTGCTCCGTGTTGAGCTCTCTGTAATGCTTGGTGAAGTGGACGAAAGTGTCGACGCATTTCTGGTTGCAGAATTTGGCGGCGAAACGCCGGAAGTCGAAGCTGCGCTCCTTCGACATCCTTTCCGCCTCCATCACATCCTCATCCTCGGATCCGTGCTCTTCGTCGTTCTCTCCCTCAACGATCCCCTCGGTTTCCTTCTGCTTACGTCTGGCACGCCGCCGAGACCGCACCTGCATGTCGACATTCTCCTTGGAGTAGCGTTCCAGCATACGTAAGAAAACATGGGTAAGCTCGGTGCATGCGTTCAGGTAGCCGAAGCCCTGATCGGTATAACCGCGAACAATAGCAATCACGCGATCATGCGTCGTCTCCTCGTAAAAGATCCGATTCTGGATATTTTCGGCAATCTCTTGGTCCTCCTCCAGTGGCGATTGGACCATATCCTGGACAGTCAACAGAATCTGCGTAAAACAGCGCATCTCAGCGATGAGATCTTGCCAGTCTTTGCTGTCGACTGCATACTGCATGGCCCTGTTCAGGAAGACGAAAGTCTCCTGGTCCAGCACACCGGCCACCAGACCGAAGCTGTCCGGCTCGATCTCCTTCCCGGGCTTCTCGCTCTGCGCCCGTTTCTCCCGCTGAAGTGCACGTCGCGCCCGTTCCGCCTGCAAAAACCAGGACACGGTGTAGAAGAACTGGCGGGAGTTGATGTCGACCACCCGATCCGCTTCCCGTTCGATTGCTTTGCGCACGTGGGTGAACAGAGGGTTGAACCCTGAATCCAGGAACTCTTCGACGAACTTCCGGAGGTTTTCCGAAGCCGCCCCGTTGAGGTGCACAGGAGTGCTGAAGTCGTTGTACATGGTCAAATCCTGTACCTTCCGGCGGAATTGAGGCTTGTTCCACTTCTTGCTTTCATCCATCTTCTGGAAGGTCGTCTGGTCATCTTTGAGGACGCTCTGCCCGGACACTGTGGAGTATTTGGCGTCGTCGCGCTTCACCCAGATCATGGTTCCGAATCGACCGTGACGCGTGGGTGCATTCTTCGCATATTCTCTCCGCAGCGATGACTCCTTCCGTAACAGGTCATCGAGCTCGTCGGTCCGCTTGGCAGTTCGTTGGGTGTTGTTCATGAATAGCTTCTCGACGTCGACACCCCTGACTAGATGGAACAAGATCTCCAGGAGAGCCACGTCTTGCAAATTGAAGTCGTCTCCCACATTGGAGCACATGGTGAGGAGGAGGGCGAATACGTCCTGCTCCTGAAAGGCATTGATGGTTGCCGAGCGGGACGTTTCCTCCTCATCACCTTCAGCTGCCAGGCGAGTGTTCGGAGTTATCAGGGCGATATTGCGTAGGAAGAAGAGCATCAACTTGAGAATCCCCTCATCGCGAGTGGCGCGTTCGGATCGCGGGGTCGCCATGCTCGGGAGGCCGATGCGGATGATCGTGCGGAGATAGCCAGTGCTGGCATGGCTGAGAATCCCCCGCTTATATGCGACATGCGAGTGTTGTAGGTACGGAATGTGTTTGAAGTTGTCGGCCGTCAGTTCACCTTGCATCTCCAAAGGCCATGTCAGAGGCACCAAGATTTCCACTGTAAGACCCGTCAGTCACCCTGTTCACTAGTGTAAAGATGGCACAATACGGCAACAACATACAACACGCCAAGGCAATCCGCGACATATATTTGGTCTGCTTGGTGCTGTTCGCAAAGGTCGACAAGATCGGTAGCAGGTCTCCGTTGACCAGGTTCGCTTCTCCCAGGCATCGCGCAACGTCCATGCGGTTGTACTTCTCGTCGTAGAGTTTCAGCCAGCGCTTGATATCCCGCAAGCATGCCAACGCATCGTCACCCAGGACGTACTTGTCCGCATCTTCTCCGTTGAAGCCTCCGAGCTATGATTGACCACATAAATTAGGATTTCACAGCAAGGCGGTGCATGAGATGTAGTTGTATACTTACCGCGGTGACAAGACTGTAAACATGGGCTCGGACTTCCGGATCCACCACGGTGGACTCGGTAGTCGCGAGCGCTGGCTCTTCGACCTCCATCTTGGCCGGTAATGCTGAACTCCTGGTCGCTTTCGACTTGGATAGCAACCGTCCATCATCTTTCGGGCAATCTGTAAATGATCCGGCGCGAAGACGGGACATTGTACCAATCAGAACGCGCCATTCACGTGTTATCGCGTCTTCCGCCTTCGGGTGGGCGGCGAAACGGTTCGGCCGGTTGAGCCGAGGCTAGCCGATGACGTCGGCTCATATGGGCCGATACCCGCGGGATGGAATGCTGAGCCATCACAAGCAAAGAAGCGACCGTCTGAGTGCGGAGAACGGTGAGGGTGAAGGTAGTCTAGTCTCGTTTGATTTGGTTTTCTGGGCGTGTTCTCATTCCTTTACTCGACACTGAACAAGTGCCGTGTTCCTGCTACAGCCATGTTGTCGTCTTCACTCCGCTCCCTCTGCTACAGAGGCCCCTCAATCGCCTCCCGGGCCTTCAGTACATCGCCCTCCGTTCGATCTGCCGAGGTCAAGTCGCTGGGTGTGATAGGAGCTGGTCAAATGGTCCGTTCCAGCATTCTCCCCCTCATATACATACATGACTTTAAGTCAGTATACTAAGAGTTTATCATAGGGACTGGGCATCGCGCTGGTTGCCGCCCAAAAAGCCCAAGTTCCAGTAACATTAATCGACACATCCCAAGCATCTTTAGATAAGGGACTCAAGTTTGCCGGTAATTTCACATCCCTTCTACTCTTAGAGCTCATCCCACCTACAGAGCCCCCGCATATATTCTCGAAATAACTAACCATCCCCGCCTGCGTGTTTTCCCCAAAATGCAGACAAACTCCTCGCTAAAGAAGTAGCCAAGGAGCGCCTGACGCAGGAGGCGGCGGACGCGGCGCGGGCGCGCATCACACCGAGCCAGAAGATGGAGGATCTGAGCGGGGTGGACTTTGTGATCGAGGCGGTGCCGGAAATCGAGGCGCTGAAGCGGCGGATCTTCGGGCAGCTGGCGCAGATCGCGCCGCGGCACGCGATCCTGGCGACCAACACCTCGTCCATCTCGATCACCAAGATCGCAGCAGCGACGACGGCGGACCCGACGGACCTGCAGGCGCCGGCGCGGGTCGTCTCGACGCACTTCATGAACCCGGTACCCGTGCAGAAGGGCGTCGAGATCATCGCGGGCCTCCAGACGGCGCCGGCGACGGTCGCGGCCGCTGTCGACTTCGTCCGCCGCATGGGCAAGATCCCCGCCGTCTCGGCGGACTCGCCCGGGTTCCTGGCCAACCGCATCCTCATGCCCTACATCAACGAGGCCATCATCTGCCTGGAGACCGGCGTCGGCGCCAAGGAGGATATCGACAGTATCATGAAGAACGGCACCAATGTGCCCATGGGCCCGCTGGCGTTGGCAGATTTCATTGGCCTGGATACCTGTCTGGCCATCATGAATGTCTTGCATCAGGAGACTGGGGATAGCAAGTACCGGCCTTCCGGGCTGTTGAAGCGCATGGTGGATGCCGGGTGGTTGGGCAAGAAGTCGGGCAAGGGCTTCTATGACTACTGATCGCGCGATGGCCCTGAGCCCATTCTCGTGCATCGCGATATGTTTCTCAATCAATACCACCATGGGTTTTTCATTCGTTTTGCTACCATTCCTGGGTTGCAATTCAGGATGGAAGATGTAGTGATCAATATCTATCCATTGTGACAAGGAGACATCTCTCTACGGGTGCATAAAGGTGCATAAAGGTAGATATTCACTCCGATTCTCGCAGTCTGGCAAATTGTCGGCAGAGATAAAAACAATTGTAGATCGTTCGCATCATAATTGATATGACAAAGGAAAAATCAAAAGAATGGCTAAGTCAGCACCGCACGCCTCTTTGAAATCAATCGCATCAAATCATTATTCCTCGCCGTCATAGAATGATGTCTCGGCGCAGTAAGTCTATGCTCAACCGGGAAAGTCTCTTGCTCTCCCTGCTGGTCCCCTCCATCTTAGCTTTGGCATTGGCCGCCTCCTCATCACGGAGTCTTTCGTTGCGGAGGATGGCAGTGACTACCGCAGACAGCTCGGCCTCCTGGTCTCGGCTCAACTTGGTGTGTCCGATAAGCACGGCCAGGAAATCCGCGGGCCGCTGTCCGGACGCAGCGCAGGCACAAGCAGACCAAGGATCTCCACATTTGTAACTAGAGCAAGCAGTCAGCCTTTATTATTGCTTTGATGAATGTATGGAGGGAATTGGGAACACTACCAGAATTGTGCCTTGCATCTGCAGGTGACATGGTCGCAGCCAGAGACAAGCTCTACCATGGAGCCGCAATCATAACATCGTTTCCATTGCTTGAGTCGGGCCTCCTCAAGAACAGCCGCGAGGCCGGGATCGGGCGCGCACCCTCTCGACGAATGAGCCAGGTCGCGACACCCTGAACATATCTTGGTGCTGCAGTAAGGGCACGTTTGCGATGAGGATGCGCTCCTCACATACTGCGGCGGAATGAAGCGCCTACACGTCGCCGCTGAGCAGTACCACCGTTCTGCAGCTGGTGTTGCATACTCCTGCGCTTTCGAGATGTAGAAGCTTCTCTCCTTGGGCGTCAACACGGGCAAGATAGTCTCGACTGGGATATCTAGCTTGCAGCATCTGGGTGGGAACAACCCTTCCTCGGAGATGACCGTGAGCACCATCTGCTTCATGCATCGGCTGCAATACTTGTGTTGACAAGGCATAGTCGCCAGGCACTCGGCGGGCATGATGTCGAGGCAGCACACACAGCGTCTACGCCACGTCAGTTAAGTCTCGAGTCAAGGGTCAACCGAGCAAGAGGGTAAACTAACTCGTCGACGATTTCACTCTTAACCTGTTCTTTGGTGAGCTTGCCACGAAGCTTGGTGAAGAAGCGCTTGACCCTGAACCTTGCACGACTCTTCTTCTCGCCTGATAGCGGATCTGGAAGAGCAGCGTCGGCCCCGGAAGAAGCACTTGATGACCTGGTATATGACCTCGACCCGCGCATGGTGCGGAGCCCTTCTGGCATCGGAAGAGCTTCAGCTGGTTGCGCAACAGCACGAAAAGACAGTCTTCTGATCATCATTGGAGGCATTCCCTTTGATGCACCACGTATTCTGCAGTTTCAGGACTTTAGAACGGATCGCGAGACGGCCCTACGAGGATCGATGGTCTCGAGGGTGGGTGAAAGCAGGTCGGACCGGTTGATTGCTGGGGAGTATTCTAGAATACTGGAATCCATAATCGCAGATCGAGTCTGGGCAAGAGCGGTTTGGCGAGAATACTAAAGCTGGGTGCCGGATATCAATAACATAATTCGAACGATGTCAGGTGCTCTGCTGTTTGGTATATTGAATGGATGGTCGAGGAGCTGAAAGAGCAAGAAGATCAATCTGAGGAAGAACGACATTTTATTCTATATAAGCTGTCTCCTACGCTGACCGGAATGCTCTTCCGGAAGGCTGTCGCATGATGAAATTCGGCATATGCGACAACTAAGCGGCCACGCCATGGGTACGGCGGTCGAATGCCACATGTTCAGGCTTCATCATTCGCTACCATGGGAAATGGGAGGGTCTCGTCAATCGCCAATTCGCTGATTGCACTTGAATGGGAATCTCAGTAAATTTGGGAATGGCGCTGTTTAAAGTGTTTGGACCAACCATGGCCACAATCGAGCGTGTCAACAAGGGTCAAATGTCGGGGAGGATGGTTAACCATGAGGGTACCGGTATGCTTTCCGTCAAGCCGGTGTCGACGTGTCCAAATGTGGGGGGGGGAAGTAGGGGAGGGAAGATGTATGGAAGGAGATCATAGGAGGAGAAGGTCTAAGAAGAGGTTGGAGGTTGAAGGGAGGGAGTGGAGGGAGAGCAGGTTAGGTAGCAACTAAGCAAGAAGCAACCTCAGCTTGATTGGGGATGGATCATGGATGCAGCCTCACCTCACCGCAACAAGCGACAATCCAATCCCATCCAATCCCATCCAATCCCATCCAATCCCATCCAATCCCATCCAATCCCATGTGACTCGCCCGCATCCTTTCTGCCCAACCGATTGACACTGCGTGCACCGTCGATTTCGCCCCCTTCCAGACGATGAGGTCGGTCAAGCTAATAGACAAAGGCCGCCATCGAGCTGCTGAGAAAAGAGATGATTAGATGTTTGTATCATCCTCGCAAATGACATTTTATCAAAATGCTTAGACGCGGCTGTGTCCCGCACTTTCGATCGAACCAGCTGATAGCTTGAAAAGGGGTATCAAGGACACATAGCTACTACACAATACACACGCAAACAGGAAAGGTGCCAGCCTGGAATAACAAACGAAAAGCTGCAGCTCAAACCTCCGAAGACGCCAATCGCGCTTTAAATCTATAACTCCCCGACCGGTTATAATGCACCAGCAAACTTCCGACCAGCCCATGAGGAACCATACTCTTGGTATTCCTGACGAGTGATAGCGACTTTCTTTAACTCTTCTCTATTGGTGGCCAGTCGCGATGCCCCCCGCCAAGTGGATCGTATTGGGCTATCATCGAATCTCATTAGTCTCTCTTAGTTGGAGTCACAGGATAAGGGATAAGCTTACTCTCGAGGGCATCGCACTCTTACAACACATTCGGCGGATGCCAGTTGGCGCAGCTCGGTCTCCCTACACAAGGTTAGAAAACAAGTAGATCATTTCATAGGAGATCGTCTTACAGTCTCTCCATGAACCCCGATAGTAACGAGTTCCCGCCAACAACCAGGACGTTGGCTAAGAAGGCCGGGTGCAACCCGGTAGGCAGTACAGAAAGACTCTGCAGAACGATGTCCGGGATCCCGGCCTGTTTCATGCCAATATCACTGGGAGTGAACAAGACTTCCGGGACAGTGAACCGCTCGTTGCCCAAGACCAGGGCATCTTCGGACAGTGCCTCAGCGCTGGCACCGGACAGCGCTCCTTTCCTCTTCTTAGCGTTCAGTAATGGATCGTGTGGTCGCATGAAACCCTTCTTTCCCGCATTGGGGTCCGGAAGGACATAGTCTACTGCGACGCCCTCTTGCGAATCAGAAAGGTCACGCTTTCGATTGCCTTTCCAGGTCTGCTCCAAGTCGCCAACGAAGTTGTTGCTCACATAGCAAACAGCCTCTTTGACCTCATTCATGATATAGGTTTCATCCACCATGTTATATTGCCGCACGGACACCATTTCCTTCAAGTAATTCGTAAGGTGTTTGCCACCCAGGTCGAGTCTGCGTATGGCACGTTGAAGCGGTTGGCCTCGGTAGACAGGCGTCACGGTGGTGTGGGAGTAGCCAGAGTCGATGACCAGTAAACATTCTCTTGGCGACACGACAGAATCCGCCTCTTTCACAACCGGGTCTCCGAAGACAGTGTTCAACTCGTTCCAAGCATTCAACGGCGGCCCTAGATAGAGCGGAAAAATTGCATCAGCAACAGGACGCAAAGCCAAACGGGCTATTCGTGCCCTATCTGGTTTCAGACTTGGGAGGGAAGGGATCCCGTACCTAAGCTCCTGTAATAACCTCCAAACCCCCACTCCTCCATCACAATCTCGTCGGCGTTCTTTTGCAGGACGGGCAACGCATTGGGCGCCTCCGTCAGCACCAAGGTGGTGTCTTCCGGGTCGGTGATGCGCAGCTCCTTGCTTCGCACGGTCTTCTCGTCGAAGAACGAGTGCTCCCAGATCTCTTTCTGAGCTTCCCAGTTGACAATGTATCCCTTCTCTACCGGTCGACGAAAGGACATCTCGTTCCAGTCGGTCACATGTGTGTTGAGTTGCGAGCCGACGTATATGCGGTTTCCACGTGTCTTCACAATCGTGTTGGGGATCGTAGCGCACGCCAAAAGCGCCTTTTCCTCGTCCTCAGGAGGCGGGTATTCCGGCGCATATCCGGCTTTCAGGGTATATGCGCCATTGTCGACAATGAAGGTTTTGTCCGGCAGAGCTTGGAGGGTCGGAGCTTTGGCGACGGGAGCTTTGCCGCCAGACGGACGCGGCTTAGCTGAGCCCATGCTGAGGAAAGAATGATGGGACGGTTGCGGTTTGATAAAGTGGCTTCAGACGCCTCGAATCCATGCATGAGCAAATGGCACGGAGTCGAAACCCAGAATTGTTGAACTTGGTGGTTCGAGTTGTTACTTGCTGGATGAATGAAATGCTCGTCCTCCGCGGCGGGCGGCGATGCCAAGCAGTCAATCCTCCAAATCGGGAAACTAGGGCTCGATATTAGGGCCACTCTATGTATAGTATACTGTCTGGTACGGTACGGTACAACACCACCGGTCCTTGCAGATGGTGGATGGAAATGTGTAGGCGTCTACCACATGATGTTGCAATGACATGACATTCATTATTTCTTAAACAACGGACTACACAATTACCCGGAACAAGGACATCGATACAGGACATTAAGATCTGCTCACAAAGATGATGAGTGCCGCGCAAAATCAGACAGTTTCCATACTATGTAGCAGTCCAATCTTCAGTCGAGTCGTCGAGCGACTCATATTGAGAGAGCTCTTCTGCAGTCATCCGATCCTTGAGCCATTCAAGAATGGCATCAGTACCCTTGGCGACAATCTGCCACCGAGGAACACGGAAGCTATTTCCGGCAACCTCGAACCGTCTTAGGGCAGATCCATTCCCCCAATTTCTGCTCGAGCCTTCTCCTCTCAGCAAGCCTAGCTTAGGTGGAAGCATGCCGATATCATTATTTCCCACGTCTAATACTTGAAGGCCTTGGGCGGCATCAAAGTCCAAGTTGGTATATCGATTGTCTGCGGCCACAAATGCCACCAGGTTGGTGTAAGTGCGACGTACGGCAGGCACCTGGCCAGACAAGCGGTTGTAAGAAACATCCAGGAATGTCAAAGCCGGTGCCACAAGGTTTGCCAAGATGGGATCCAGTGTAGTAAGGTTTGTAGCACTCAGATTCAGGCTTTGAAGATTGGGAAGCGTAAGAGCTGAGGCGAAAAGTGTTGTGCTATCTAGTGGGTTGTTGGAAAGGTCGAGATCTGTGAGAGTAGAGGCCAGTAAACTGAGGGCAGATATAGGAAAGTAGCGTAGCTCGTTGTGATGCAGATACAAACATCGCACTTCGCTTAAGTCAATTCGCCTCAGCTCGTCCAGCTCTAGCTCACGCACATCAGTGTAAGACCGATCAAGAACACCACCAGGCTTGATCTGCCAAGCCGCCGTCTGAGCTGGGGTTTCCGGTGCTAATGTGAACTGGGTCGCGACAGAGCCCGCGTCATCGTCGGTATCCTGGGGCTCTGGCTCGCATCGGTTTCGCAAGTCGCGCTTCAGGTCCTCAGTGCCCATGGTCAGGAACTTGCGTTCGCGCAGGGGATTATTAGCCACTCGAAACGTGAACAGACTCTCCATCAAGCCGATTCTGTCGTCCAATTTGGAGATATCGTTGCCTGTAAAATCGACGTTTCGAATATTCTTCAAGCCAATGAAGCCTTCTGGGAGATTTGGAATGCTGTTATCTTCGGCCGACAATGTCAGCAAGGCCTGCCAGGACGACAGATCCGGCAAGGACTGTATACGATTGCAGCTAATTGCTAGAGTCTGGAGATTGGGCAGCTCCAAAGCCACGTTTTCGGCAAGCTTCACCAATGCATTATTGGCCACATCAAGAACCTGCAGTGCTTTGAGCTTATAAATCGAAGCTGGGATGAGTGTGCCTTTCAGTTTGTTCTTTGGGGCTCGGAGCTCCTTCAGAGAAAGCTGGCTTAAGGCTTCAAACTGTAATGAACTCAGCTGATTACCACCAACATCCAAGACTCGAAGCGAGCTCAATTGTGACACTTCTGGGGGCAAGTCAGTGAGAATATTATCATGCAAATCCAAAGTCTCCAGCATATTCAGGTTCTTGATCTCTGGTGTAAGAGTGCCTTCCAATCGATTCTTGGCCAGCTTAAGATCTTTCAGGGATACCAGTTCCATAACGACCTGTAAATCGTTCATTTTGAGATTATTATTTGACAGATTCAAGGTGTGAAGTCTTTGTAATCTTCTGAAGCCTATCGGTAGAGATTGTAGCAGGTTACCGTGCAAATCTAGCAGCTCAAGCCCGCCAAATTGGTTTCCCTTCTCGTCATCAGAATCCCTATCTATATCGTGCGGGTCGATGTCAGGGAAAGCTTCTTCAGGAAGTTCCGTAAACTCATTGTCAGCCGCAATGAACTTAACCAGGTCTACACTCTGGTACCATTCAGTAGTAGCATCAGGATCGAAGTCGTACATCGCCATAACTTCCTTGGGAAGTTCTTTCAGAGACATGGCTGCTATGTTGAGATGCCCAGAGGTTCTGCCTGTTTCAAGGCGTTTTTGAAGAAGACCAATATTTGAATCCTGGGGGTTCTGATTGAACGGATCTTCGGTGTTGAGCCGATCCCAAGCATCATTCGATGACGAGGGTTGCATGCGCTTTTGCGCTTCTGCTTTTCTTGCCGCCTTAGCTTTAGCAATGCTCTCTCTAAGAGCGCTTGAGGACTTCGAGACCTTCCTTGTTTCCATTTCCGACTGTTGCTCTGGTGTTAAGTCTGATGCCGTGGATCGTGCGGACGGTGACCGGGGGGCGACCGATGATTGCCTTGAAGTTGAAAGCTTTGGCTGCGCTCTTCGTGTTTTCTTCACATCTAGGCTAAGTAATGACGCATCCGGGCCCGATCCAACGGCGTTCATGTGGGTTTGAGTCAAGGCCGGACGAGGCTTTGTCGTGATAAATGCCAGATTAGCATTTCCCTTATGTCCACCCATTCTCGTAGAGGGCAGCTTCAATTTTGATGGGCTATTTGCAGTAGCCGGGGCAAGGCCATGATCACCCGATGCAGTATTCGTGGACAAAGATGGGCGAGGTCTGGATGGCAGCCGCATGGCAGAGGGCGGTCGTGCAAGATAATCGCCCCCACTAGGTTTTCGAGATGAGGATCTGGATGGTGACCTTGAATAGCTGGTCATTGATGATGATGGGCGGGATGGGGACCGCATCGGGCTCGTTGCGCCATAGAAACTCGACTGTCTTCTACCTGGTCCTGGGGATGGCGGAATTCTTGAGAGTGTCTCGATTGTTCTGTCTGCGAGGGAAGGTCGCGTACGGCCTCGCGTTTCTGTATCTTCGACCAGGATATCGTCGTGCTCTAAATATGGAGCAGTATTCGAGTTTGTGTTCGCTTCGGGCTTCGCACCCCCGCCCGCCCTTGTCTGAGATCCATCGATTTTCCGAAGTCCGGTGGAGAGTTTCTGAGGCGCTGTGTATTTTGGCAGCGGTTTCTTGAACACAGTATCTTCGGAAGGTCTGCGGAGCCTGTTCGCGTCCAGGCCCGAGTCGGTTTGTAGCCTCTCACGAGATGGCGAAGGTCGGAGAGGTTTGGAGTTTGCGGATGTCGTCGGCAAGGGGAGTCTGGATGCTAAGCGGGGAATGCCACTCGCTCGGGCAGGTGTTTTTGGTTGATTGTTCATCTTTGCACCAATTTTGTGGAGTCTTTGACTATGATCGGCTGTGGGAAGAAATTGAAAGGGGGCTTTTCCACCACTATAGCAAGCTCATTGCCGCAAAGATATATTGACCAGATGGAAATATATCGATCAATAAGGTTCGGAAGTTCCAAAGGGTTCAAGCAGTCATGGTAGAGGTCAACCGTATTGTAAGTTCGAGAGGTGGTGGTCAACCGTCGATCTGGCGCAGTGACCTCACAGTATGCATGTTGTCCATAAGATGGCTGTAATTATTGAATTGATTGTTTACCATTTAATTTGTAGACCCGCCGCGGCTATTGCATGTTCTGATGCCTGAGGCTGCATATCCCCACCTTTGAGGCACTCCTTGGCATCGCCCTTGTTCCTAAGTATTTATCAGACGAAACGTTCAGGTTTTGTTTAGGTACTTGAAGCATTGCTGATGAATGTAGTCTCTGGTATTAAGGGCACTATCTAGCAATTCAATACAAGGAGGATGGAATTGCTGTAGAGTCTTATCACAAATCCATGTTTACATGACTCATTATATTGTTACCTGCCACTAGACCGAGCTGCATCTTGAAGATGAGAGAGATGACTTTCTGTGTGAAGTGATCGATAAGTATGGTACTGAGTTGTATCATGTGACTCCGATAAACAGTACATACACTCTTGAGGACATAAAGGGACCCGGCTTAGCAAGGATCGAACCACAGAAGGCAATTCTAGGCCTCTAGAGAAACAGAAGCTATGCTAGGTTCAGAGTCAAATTCAGGTTTCCAGCACAGTATTTCAAAGCTCTGAAATGATTACATTCCTACCCCCGCCGATGCACGCAATTGCTGCATTCCTTCTCTTAACAGCCACGCTGTTCGGTCTATTCCACGATCCAGATTCATTCTTGCAAGGCTGTTTAACAAATGAATTGTGAGTGACAAGTCGACAGACCTTAACTCTGTTATCTAATAGTAGGTCCTTTGCAACCCGACTACTGTACTATCAGGCTCTGAGATCAAGACCGCAGTAGACGGAGTAGTATAGAGGGTCACGGGTAGACGGGTGACTGGGTGGCTGTAAGGACTAGACAAGTCGCAAGCACGGAAATAAGCCCAATGCTAGCTGGGCTGGTTCATCCGTCTGCTGTCATCGTGGATCGGTTGCCTCAGCTACAATCAGAAGTGGCCCTGGGGTTTGAGTTGTTTACCTTTTGCAAGCGTCATCGATCTCTGCTTAGCCCAAGCAGGAAAGGTGGCATTTTAGCGCGCGGCTGGGCTCACGTGGGTGACAGTGGTTGGAGATGGTTGGTCGAGGCAAGCGATGGTTCCCAGCCTCCTCCAATTGTGCGCCAACTTACGCTTGCAAACACCCTTAAGGCATCAATCCGGCCCCTCAGCTTCCTCCTTGCTTCTCCTCATCATATCATCTCTTACGCCCACCCCCCTCATCCATCAACTAATTTCTTCATCGCCGCCCTTTCGTATACCTTATCGCGCGTACCTGCTTCATTCCTCTGATCTCCTTACTCCCGCTGACAGCTTCCCTCAAGCTTCCATACTTACCATCTCTTCTTACTTTGGACTCCTCTGCCATACTGCCATACCCGGAGCGATCTGTTTCCGACTTCTTATCGTCAACTCCCATACCTTGCGAAACGTGCCCAATCCGGCTATCAGTGATAAGCGCATGCCCCGTCGCAAAGCTATTACTGCGACGAATCGCGCAGCGCTTGCTGTAAATTTGCCATCCGATTGCATTCATCCAACCTGACAATTCTGCCCACCCGCTCGACGACATACTTCGTCTCGTCGCATCCTCGTACTCATCAAGGATATTGACGTCTCGCGTGCGCTTGCGCCCGACCGCCTCACGCTAAGTTCCGGCCCACCGCATACAAGGTTTGCCTACACGGTCCTACCTACAGACTGCGTCGGGCTTGGCTGCGAACACAAAAACAGTTAATTGCCTGCTCCCTGGATGCCATATCTTGACTATGTCGCAAGAATTTGAGCGTCCGCTCTCGCAAGGATCGCTTGCTCCCCCAGTCGAAATTTTAGGGGCAAATCTATCCGCATCACCGGACTTGAGTATCAAAGCTGGAAGCCAAGCTTCGAACTCCGATCAAAGCAAACTCCTCTCGCCCCCATCACTACCTTCATCAGACATGACACCGCCCCCCTCATCCCAGATACCCGGAGCTCCCCTGCGGGAATCAAGGTCTCAATCAAGCTCATGCCTCGAACCCCCGCTCAATATCGAGAAAACCCTCTGTGTGGCATATGGTGCTTCGGAGAACCTTCCAACTGCCGATGAGATTGAGAGTGCGGACGAATTGAAGCTTCGCATGATCGCCAAAGACCTCCTAGGTGTAGCTCAGGAAGCCCGCATGTCAGCGCTCCATTTCAAATTGCAAAACAGTCTGCTCTCATTCACAAGTAACGAAGCGATCAAGCGTGCAGAGGTTGAGCATCAACTCGCGCGAAGGGAGGTTGAGATTCTTCAGAGTTCGGAATACCGCAGTCGCCAATGCCAGCATGATATAAAACCGATGCAGACAGTTTCCAATGAGAGGCTTGAGCTTTCTCTCAAGCGCAATCAGGAACTCGAGAGGGTTAACGCTACCCTTGATCGAAGGCTTCGCCGAGCAAAAAAGCTTATCGAACAGGAGAGAAACACGTCCGAGCTTCTAGGAGAGGAAAATAAAATGTTGAAGGAGCGAATCCGCGACAACCGAAGACACTTCTCTCGGATGATCGAGCATGGAACAATGTCGCCAAGTCCCCAGAACGAGGCCCACACTCCCCATAGAGGGACAATACCTCAGTTCGCTGACAACGCTGGTCATCATTTGAACGGAACTGAGAGACATGACCCATTTGAAGCTCTTCTAGCAGCTCACCGCGTCCTCAACCAAGAGTCGCCAGCTGTCGCCTCGACCCCCGATAGACAACGCAATCATCGAGAGAATGCGAGTCGCCACATGCGCGGCGCTCACTCTTTGTCGTCTTTACCTATGACTCCATCCCATCCTCGGTTGACGCACGGTAAGGGTCGAGTCTATACTCCAGGGACATATTCTTTTGATGATCGTCGTGATCGAGACAGTACCATTTCGGCATCTGACATTGAAGAAGCCGAGACCGAGGAAGATGTCCCCGCCGCAGGAACACGGGCTGTCTCCAGTAGCGTGCACCACCGCAGTCATTTCAGCAACCATCCAGAGAGTCGAGGCATGGCAAGTGCTGCAAAGTCTAGTACGTTGCTGCAAACAAAACTGTTTGGGCAAGTGAGGAAGTCCGGCGTTGATCGGCCCCCCAGTAAAAATCTCAAACGCAAAGCAAGTTTTGATGGTGCGACCCCGAAGAGATCAAAAGCGGAGGAGAGGGTGGGTCTCGGTATTGGCACCTGGAACAACTAGACCAAGCAGTACCCGTGCACAACGGCAAAGCGTTGCTGTTTCTACCAAATCTGAACCATTATCAGACATAGTATCCTGCCGTCAATGGCATGAGAGACGCTTTCCTATGTCGACACGGATGGTCTGATCGCGTTATACCTTGCTTTCTGCATATGAGCCTTTTTCCCAGGACATGGAAAAGTGATGAGTGATGACATTCAAAGAAACGATGAAAAAGACCAGTCTTATCTAAGGGCAGCTTGTTCCCCTGTGTGATCTTATCTGCCCGGGCCGGGGTTTTGTCTTGGGATATTTTTGCGTTGACTTTCGAGCATATATTGTGAACCACCAGGGGCTCTTACTTTAGGAGTTATTGATCGATCTAGCGGTAGTTAAAGATGAATAAAATTCAAATTGAGCTGAGCTGAAGCACATTGGCAATGAGATCTTAAATGGTATACCAGTGAAGACCGGCATTCATGGAAGTAGTTCGTCAAGATGTAAGACGGGTGGTTTGACTAAGCAATATTGACAAGTGACAAGGAAGTCAGTGGTACTGTAAGGTATGGACAAGGGGAGATAATGTGGTCCGTAGGGTTGATCAGTGAAGCTGCATGTAAGGACGAAGAAAATGAGCCAGAAATATGACTTCTTGATCACCAATTTTTCATCTACTGGGGTATTCAAGTAATGGCAATTGCGGTTCGGAAAAGGCGGAGACGAAGGCGGACAAGAGGACGAGCCTTCCAGATTGGGTAAGCAGGGTAGGGCTCGCTAAGCGAGGCGATGCGGCTCTGCGCGGGTTAGCCACACCAAAAAAAGTTCCACCTAATATTGAGGCGAGTCGTCTTGAGATACGACCGGCAACCACCCACGACGACGACGACAATCTCCCGGCCTTGATCCCTATCCGTCACAATGGTGCGTTATGCGTCCCTCTGCGAGAGTCTCTTGATCAATTACGATGACCATGGGCTTTTTTTCTGTCTCGCTACGTTGGTTTCTCGACACGGTGGATGCTGATGGATTTCTTCTTGGTGTGATATAGGCGATCAAGCACAACAACCAGATTCTCAACCAGCGTGAGTAATGCACCCGCCGCACGAAGCGAATACTGCAGGGCGAACGAGAGAGGGATGGAGTCGATAAGAACGAAAAATACACTGGATGATGGACGATCGAATGGGGTCACTTGGAATTGATCATGGACTGATGGAATTTTTTCATCTCAGACTTCCACAAGGACTGGCAGCGTCGTGTCCGCGTGCACTTCGACCAGGTACGCTCTTCCTTCTCTACGACACAAGATTACGATCCTATCGCAATTCGCCTGGATTCGAACCACGACATGGGAATGAAAGGATCGCTGGGAAAAGATGGTGTGGACTGACCTGTTTTCTTCTCTGGTTTATAGCCTGGCCGCAAGCACCGCCGTCGTGAGGCTCGTCTCGCTAAGGCCGCCGCCGTTGCTCCTCGTCCGGTTGACAAGCTGCGCCCCGTTGTGCGCTGCCCTACCGTCAAGTACAACCGCCGTGTTCGTGCTGGCCGTGGTTTCACCCTTGCTGAGCTGAAGGTAAAGAGACACTCCTACGAATCCTGGGCGAAGAATGATGAAGGGGGTGCCACCGCTAGGAGCCTGTCCTATGCGACCTGGGACCCAGCGGCACGCACAGGAAGGAATCAAATGAGGATGGAAGGGCTTACATTTTTGGTTTCGCACTTGAACAGGAAGCTGGTATCCCCAAGAAGCTCGCTCCCACCATCGGTATCTCCGTTGACCACCGCCGTGTCAACTACTCCAAGGAGTCCCTCGTCGCCAATGTCGCCCGCCTCAAGGACTACAAGGCTCGCCTGATCCTCTTCCCCCGCAAGAGCGGTCAGTTCAAGAAGCTCGACTCTTCCGCCGAGGAGGTCAACGCTGCCAAGGCTGCCTTCGCTGAGGGCAAGACCGAGGGCTTTGTCACCCGCGTCAACCCCACCCTCCCCATCAAGAACGTCTCCGCCGCCGAGGCCGTCACCGAGGTCAAGCGCGACGACCTCCCTAAGGGTGAGGAGGCTGCCTACCGCCGCCTCCGCGAGGCCCGCTCCGAGGCCCGCTACAAGGGTGCCCGCGAGAAGCGTGCTAAGGCCAAGGCTGAGGAGGAGTCTGCTGCCAAGAAATAAATGTGATTCACCACTAATGATGATCGGGTCGATTTTCAAGTCGGGGATTATTAGTCTACTGTGGCATGGCGTGGCTCCTCTTTTTCCTCTCTTACCTTTGTCCTTAACTTAAAAAGCTTCCCAAACACCTCGAAATGCAAATGTCCCAAGTTCATGTCCCACCACTACGACTTTCGATTTTTGCCCACGATCTTCCCCGGACTTCGGTTCTGTGATCAAAGTTTTTTTTGTCTATCACCAGAAATCACATCGAGACCTTGCAGATACCCCCCCCCCCCCACCACTTCAGAATTACCTAACATGTTTTTCCTGATCTGACGAGTAGACGGTAGAAGGTCACTATCACGGTCTTTCCATCTGGTTATATATGTTGTAGAACAGAGAATCCTTCACGGTCTAGTATCCTACTTCGAGCCTAGTTATGTGCTTGATAGAGGACATAAGTGGGGAACATATAGGCCTAGATCGCTCTCTGTAATAAAAACTGCCCTGTCAAAATGTACGAGGATAAAAAGATTCGATGCTGTCATTCTTCCTGATTAACATGTGCAGGCATGTCGGGGGGTGGAAGCTTGCATTCGGAACCTCTCTCCCTATCACACCCGGCCCAGCAGCCTATCGTATGCAAATTAAATCATTTCACTGTACCTCCCACAACAGAGTTTCCCTTAAAATGGCCCGTGCTATAAACTGTGCCTCAACCCTATACCAAACAAGTACTCATGGAAACTCCCCGATTCGAAACAAGAAACACGCCAAACCTTAGCACGCAACAACGCCACACGCATGAATTCAATCAAACGCCATAGACATAGATGCGTGTAAACACACTTGGTCATTACCTAGACATTTCTGAACCCGTATGTCCGATATCTCTTAAGGTGTACCATGCACGGAACCATGATCGAGCTCACCCCTATTTCCAAACAGAACTTTTACAACGCACTGCGTAGCCCGCAATATGGCGCCGGTCTGGGTTTCGCTGGAGTCGTCGGTGGCGCCTTCAGGCTGGCTGTCTTGGTTCTCCGTCAACATAGTATGAAACAGCTTTTTACACTCTTGCTCGACTTTTCGGCCAGGAGCCCCGTCGGAGGTGATGCTCGAAATGCTGATTCCGGGGACAAGCTGGGGTTCGCTGGACCATTCGTCGATTCTCAACTCACAGGAGAGAAGCAGGCTGAGGCGTCTGGCCTTCGATTCAAAGAGTATAGACGTTCGCTCGAGGTGAGGCAGAATGCGGCGCAGATCCAGCGTGCTTGATTTGTCGGGGCCTGCTGCTGGGGAGGCACCGGGCCTCCTATGGCCAGGGATCAAATCTGCATGTTGCTCCTCCATCTGCGACCACAGCTGTGCCCGTGATATTACAGCTTCCCAGTACCGATTGATCCCCCAGCAAAGTCCCGTGATGTCAAGACTCAGGAGCGGGTTGGCGAGTCGGATCTCCGTCCAATGCTGTAAGGAGGCGGGCATTCTGGCCTTGTCGGTTTTGGTTGTAGGTGGTACTCGTATTGAGACCAGTGTTTGTGTCTGTGGGTTGGCATCATACGTAATGGCTACATGGAAGCGATTGGAAGGAAACGGATGCGGCGCGGTGAAAGTTAGAACATGTCTCTCCAGGGAGGGCTCAGTTGGGGTTGATGGGACAAGCTCTGAGAATGCGGTGAGGTCCAATGGTGCAAAAGCTGTGAGATAAGGTTTCTTGTGGGCATGTTCGTCCAGCGCGAACGGATTGATCGGTAGTGTATCTTCAGTCGGTGGTGGGGGGATCTTCGTAGCGAACGGAAGCAAAGCCGCGATAAGAGACGGGATCGATGTCGCAGTTGAGCGAGGACCAGATGGCGCTGTTTCGGTAGGGTGAGCGGATGATAGCAGGGCACTAGGACCGGTCAGTGCTCGTCCTACAGCAGTTGTCAGGAGGAGCTTACATTAACTTTGACAAGTCACGTTCGGTGTGTTCATCGCCCTGGCTCAACTCCTTTGACCAATCTTCCAATTCGGCAATCTCCTTCTTGAGTTGTTCCAGCTCGTCAGAGAGCTCATTCCTCAGCTTTCGCTTTTTCAAGATGTGCTCCGGGAACGACACCCAATCCATGGTGGGTCCCGATTTCGTCGTATCGTCCGCCTCGCCATAATCGACGCTCCTCAATCTCGAGGGTGTTTGCTCAGGGTTGTCCGTCGTTCGTCGTCTCCCCCATTTCGCTTGTTGTGAACTAGGGCTGCTGCTAAGAAGCCCCTTTGAGCGTCCCGGGGGCAGTTCCAACCCCAGCTGTGTCGGTGTCGGCGGGAGATCCGGCTCTTCGAGTATCTCCTGTAAAGAAGACTGACTGAGGTCCCCAGTCACGTCCAGATCCCCGGTCACGCTACCCAGCTCCGATGTCAGTTGGTCACCTGGCGTATTGATGTGTCGCGGTTCCTCGAGACTCCGCTGCGTCGAAGCGGGGGACCCAAAAGCCAAATCAGCGGCGGTTATTCGAGTTGAGACTCGCCTCGGTGGCGCAGCAAAGACATTGAGACTGCTTGATAGTCGGGGCGACGGCTTCGCCTTCTTGCGGTGTTTCAGTGGACTGCCGGATGAAGTCAATGATGGTCTGAGAGCCTTCCGGTCTCTCAAGCCGACAGCCCGTGCATCCGCCTGAGTCGGTCTCTGTGGGCTTCGCACGGGCGATCTGCTCAGCGCGCGTTCGAGGAGAGTGGGGTGTGCTCTTGCTAAGCTGGCTCTTGTCGGTGCCTGGAACGAGGCACGCTCGTTCGTTTGTGGTTGCGCGACATTCGGTGGAGGAGGGTTGCTCATTTGCGACGCGCTGACCTCAACAGCCACTGAATCGCTCCGCACAGGTGGCTCTCGGGGTGCGATACAAGCGCTAGAATAACCACCCTTCCTAGTACTGATTGATGTTGTGAAAAGAGACCGAAAAAAAAAGTTTGCGTATAAGAAACGAACTGAGCTGAAGTTAGATTGAGCCGGTGTTTACATGCGCCCGGACGGTAAGTCAACTAAGTTAAGGTTTGCACTGTTTGCCTCCATGCAATCGATTCCTCCCGCCCGCGGAACCAACTTATGACATAACCGGCCGCATCGGCGATCCTCAAGTTTCTCTTTCTGCCTGCTTTTCTTTCCCCTCCTCCGTCGACACCCCAGAACAAATGGAACGCCCCTTCCTGGCTCTTGCGCCGTCTTTCGCGCGAACAACATCCTTAATCTGCAGCAGCAGCAGCAAGGGTCTGCGTCGATGGTCGCAAATCGCGCCCTTCATTATCAGACAACATGCATTCTCCTTCTCCGCTCGCCCTCTAGCCACGCATGGCCATGCCGCCGCTCTGCGCAACGGAACGGTCAAGGCCGACGAGAACGGGCATACACAAGCGCAACCACTGGCCGGTTACTACCACGATATCCTCTCAACCCGCTCCCCGTACGACCGGCAGACCAGTCCCCCGCAACAACCCCGCGAGCCACTCGAGGAACCGGCCGCCTCGACAGGACCCCAGACACCGGAGGAGAAAATGGCCATTGTCTTCGGGACGCGTCTCGCAGGCCCCGGCCGAGCCTCGCGATACGATCCCGGGGCCGCACCGGACGCGACCTGGAAAACCGTGAACGGGGTCGCGATCCCCCCGCGCCCGGAGGAACCCGACAACTGCTGCATGAGCGGCTGCGTGCACTGCGTGTGGGACGACTATCGGGACGAGCTGGAGGAATGGGCCGCGCGGCTTGCGCAGGCGAAGGCCAAGGGCTCGCCCGCAACAAGCGACGGCAAGGACCAGCGCCAGACGCCGAGGTCCGAGGTCAACGCCGCCAGTGGTAGTATGGACGACGATGGCGGGGGCAGTGAAACGAACTGGACGCTGCCGGATCCCAACGAGGACCTGTTCGCTGATATTCCCGTCGGGATCCGGGAGTTCATGAAGACGGAGAAGAGGTTGAAGCAGAAACATCAAGAGGAAGCCCACACGTGAGACAATTGATGAAAAGACTTTACGCCTCTCCCGATCCCTCCCTCCGCCTTTAGACGATGATTATACCCTGTCTTCCATGGTTTTGTGCGTGTGCGTGTGCGTGTGCGTGTATATATTAAGAATATAGATGTTTAGAGCCTCCCAGATATGCGCGAAGTGTATATAAACTACTATGGTAGTAACAAGATGATCCCCCAATAAACTTCTCCGACGCAATCAGTAACTGCGATATCACTCCAAGCATGCAATCCACGGTACATGTGCAAATGAACAATAAATACTCTATGTAGAGCATGCAAACCATAACTTGGTAGTCCTATAAAGATATTCCAAACCAATTAACCTTATCGAAAGATTACAAAGCGGTGAAGACCCCGGCCCAGTCTCCCGCACCCCGTATGGATTCTGCCCCAATCTGCCGCCTCGCTATCGCAAAAAAAGTTCAATATGAATGAACCAGTTCTCTCTGAGACAATAGAGATCCCAGAAGAGCAAACCCCTCCCTTATGAGCCAAGCCAGATCATCAGATCAGAAATTAATGCCAGGATGTCAATATCACAATCGGAAACAGACATCATCCTCAACAAGGCCAATGTCGCCCTGGCCCGCAGTCAACGGCTTGTCGCATCATGGCTCCCAGCTCCGACGACGGAGGACCAGGCCAATGTGAAATCCGAAGAGGAGTTGCAGCGCGAAGAGGATGAGATATTTACAGCGGTCCCAGAAACGTAACCGAACCCCCCCCCACCTCCCCAACCCCCTTCACCAATATTTAGACACAGGAAAACGTGTTTTCCTCTCGTGAGATATATTTTGCTCGTGTCGCTGACCTCTTGATTCTGGGCGGCGATAATCACAGGCTCGGAGTTGGAGCGCCTTTGCCGACGAAAGCCGCGGATGGAAGTTGGAATCGCACGGAACTGGACTCAAATGACAAACTACGGAAACAGCTTCTCGGTCGCAATTACCAGAAAGTCATGGCGGCCAAGGCTAATGCAAAGACAGGGCCGTCCTCCGCTGGTACAGCGACAGGTCGACCGTTGGTGAAGGCGGCGGCGTCCGGCGCCGGTCACGGGGCTGACCAGGAGGATGAGGATGAGGAGGAAGGTCGCCTGGCTCTTATTGGCACAAAGAATAACTCTTTTTCAAGGAAGAGGAAAGCAGCTGTTCCTCAACAAATTCCGGGAGAAACCGAAAACATGAGCTCGGAGGCCAAGGTGACAGATGTTGGTGGCGAGGATAAATCAGAAGGGGCTCCATCGCAACCCTCAACTGGCCGAAGAGGTAGGAAAAAGGGCACAAGCTTTTTGGATGAGATCTTGGCCGAACGGTCGAAGAAGAGAAAGAAGAGGTGACTACTAGGTGCATGTTTCGGTAATCGACCACTCTTGTGTATAGAGGCATAAATCAAACACAATATTGATACCCGCTCGATCCGGTGGCATACAGCATCGTCCATATTTCAAGCAACCACCTACCTCTACCAATGTTCATTCGTTCGTTCTGAATTTAGTGATCATATCGATATACTCAGCATTAGCCAACACAAACCAGTCTTTGCCTAGTGTGAAAGCTGAATTCTATACATTGTCTTAGTCAAAAAGTCACTATAGATTCATTTCTAAATTAGTGTCCCCAAGCAGTATTCTGTTCCACTCAACCCAGGGTATATAGTATAAATAAACAGAAGTGGCCTAATTAGCCTGAAATGCTAGTATGCATGGTCACCTATCGATGACTGGGGGAACCAGCGGTGTGAACTATGGGAATTGATAATGATAATCCCAAAGTGTTTGGTGCAGGTAACACCACCAATGATGCATGCTGTCCAAGTAGTGTAAGAGGGTAGCAGGATTGAAGAAACACCCTGCGCAAAAGTAATAGGCTACAAACGAGCCAAGCCCTCTTTCACACACCCTCATGAATGATTGTACAAAAAATGCTCCGACCCAATTAAATTATCGAAAGAGCGTGTAAGGGAGATATGAAAAATTACAGGCAGAGTGATGCCCCCAGTGCGCAGACTTGGCCAGTGTACGATGGGGAGGGACTGGTGTATTTGTTGTCTTTTTCCAAATCGATTTTTCTTTCCAAGCGTCTGCGCCACACCCAGAGAGAAATTAGGGAGACTGTATCGAGAAATCGAATTCGCTGCAGTCGCGTACTATGCGAGAAGCTGCCTGAGAGCGCTGCTTGAGACAAAACCGAAACTTTGCGCGTCCCGTGGTCTACTCGAGCCGCTTCCGCTTCCGATCGTCCGCCAACGCATGTTGGTCTTCGTCCGGTCGCTCAGCCGTATCGGCGGGGTTAAGAAGTGAATGAACATTGCTTGCCATGCTGGAGCGCCGTGTTGCGGGAAGGGATATTTCGTGGCGAGGGAACCTGGGACCTAGGGGCCACCCATTATCGGCGGGAACAGTCTGATCAGGGTGTAAGGGAGGAGTCGCATGACGATTGCTTTCCTGTAGGCGCCGTGGGGCGCCCATTTCGTATTGTGCCAACACATCGCGTACTTGCTGCTCACTTGAGGTCGGAGTTCGGTGTCGCGACGGCGACCAGGGATTCGCCGCATGGGTGGGCAAATGAGTTGATGGGAATGGCGACACTCCCGGTGGCGGCCAGCCATGCTGTCTGATATCGGCTGAAGTATGGCGACGAGTGAGGTTGGGGCCTGGAGGAGACGAGACCGAAGATAGGGGATGAGGCACAGGCTGTTGTGGGGTGACCACAGCCGGCACCTGGGGGCGGCTGTAGTTCGGGGAGGAATGCCCAGTCCCAATTGAACCAAAGCGACGGGGGGATGCAGCCAAATGTGGGGGAACAGGAGGACGGATCATGGTGGGCCGAGACGGGTTCTCCATCATCGAAGGACGACGTCCATCCTCCTGAGGGATTTGACGCGGGGACAACGGCGGGCCGGGTTCGATGGAGATATTGGCAACGTACGGCTGGCGGACTGATAGGTAAGGATCCTGAGAGTGCTCGAGAGACCGCACGGCATCTAAATGTTTCTCTAGTTCGGCTTGCATGCCGGTCACTACTACAGGTTAGGTCACCCGAATTTCAAGGACTAAAGGCGACGAAGCTTACCATCACGATACAAGATGCTTTCGCGATCAGGAATCATCCCTTGAAGGAATCGAGAAATCGAATGTGTCCACTATTTCGAAGACGAAATCAGTACTGTCGTTGCCGCACAGCTTGCATGCAATCTGAAACGATCGGGCCCACGCACATGATAACAACGGATCAAACTCTCCGCCATCGATTGGCATCGCGCATTGAGCGCCACGTTCCCTTCTTCGGCGCGCGTGAGACGGGCATGCATATCGAACATTGAATGTTCCAGGTTCATCAAGCGTGCTTCAGTGGCATCCGGGACAGGCTCAGCTGGCGTGCCCGGTTGCGAGGCAGCCTTGTGGCCTGGAAAAGAATCGCGATGGATCAACGCATGGCGGGATGCGCGTCGCTTAATTTCACGCAACCCGACAAGATCGCCACGCTTGAAGTTGCCATTTCCGTGCTTGAACTCCCAGAGAGCAGAATCCGGAGACCCAGTATGAAAGACATCGCTCACTGGTGTCCAATGGCATCAGTAACGGTGCACCCATCCATCTTCCACCTGGACCAGCATACCTTTGTGAAATCCATACATATTCAATTGCCGGACGAATGAGGATATATTGGTGTGCTTGAAGTACTGGCTGCATAGATCTGTCAGCGCCTTCTCTCCCGTGGGCGATAGATGCGGTGCGCTGGAGTAGAGAAACTCACGCGAGTACTTTGGAGAATTCGGAGGTGGGCGACATAACGAAGCTATCATTGGTATTGGACCACGATATTAGGTGCTGAATGCTAGGATCTTCGAGCATACTAATCATTTCATTTGATTGTCAGTGTGCGAATCCACAGAACAGAGTGGCATCCCTGGGGGAGACGAAGACGATTGAGTCCGGCGGCTGACGTACTTGTAAAGCTTGTGGATAAAGGCTGTTTGAACGACCTTTGGCTGCTGCGCGGCGGCCGCGGCACCGATTGCCTGATTAGGGCCTAGGTGATGGTGATTCACACCCTGTGAGTCGGCCGAGCTGTTAGGAGCTGTCGTGGTAGTGATGTTGAGGTTCGTGCCCGTTCGATCGCTATCCGGGCTGCTGTGGATGGGGGGCGCAGGGCCCGGGGCTGGAGGTGTGACATCCATGGGATCACCGTTCGATTGGAAGGATGTTGGAACGACGGAGGAGGAGAGGACAGGGATCTTTCGGACTTTGCCCGGCGCATCGGTGGCAGCAATAGCAGAAGGGGCAGCAAGAAGGGAGTTCCTGGAGGGAATATCGGCGAGGCTGCTGCTCATCTCGCGCAGTAAGTCCAGAGGAAAAGAGAATAGGAAGAAGAGGAGGCGGCGGCGACGGAGGAGGAGGGGGGGGGGAGAGGTGGAAACGAAGTACGGGTGACCGAAAGATAGACCGGTAGGAAGAGAAAGACCCAGCAAAATTCAATGCTGCTTTTCGTGTTCCGGTCTTCCTTCCTTCCAGTCTAATGATAAGGTTGGGTGCCTTTTTCGTTATATTCTGTCCGGCTTCTGGATTTCTGTCGAACCATGTAATTGAGAGAGGAAGAAAAAAAGGAAGAAGTTGAGGTTGCCCTGTGGGGCGGGTTTAGGGTGAAAAGGCAGATGGCGATAGGAGGAAAGGAACAATAGTAGATTGGGCAATAAGAGAGCTAGATTTGAAGAAGAGAGGAAAAGGGGAGGGGGGCAAGAGGGAAAGAGGGGAAGAGAAATTGAAATTACAGAAGGAGGAAGAAATAAATCGAGGAAATGGTGTCAATAGTGGTAGGGAAAAATAGATGATTTAAATTGATGGTGATGAAGATTTACAAGTCCAAAGCGAAGAACGAGACAGAGAGGCTGCAAGACTGCGAGACCGCGAGATAGAGAGAGAGAAAGAGAGACAAGAAAGAGGGTAAAAAAAGAGGGTCTGGGCCGAACGGACCGGAACTGAGGATCAACACTTCAGAGGTAAGTTCTTCGAAGTCTCCGCTGCCTCGATCATCCTGGGCTTGTTCCATTGGTTGACCCTAGCTTTGCTTGCCTATTTTCAATTTTCGGTTCTCGGGGTTCTCTTTTCTTTTCTTCTGAAATGCTGATCGAGGCTCATTCTGCTGGTTAGTCCGTTGGATGGATGCTTCTCGTGTACTATCCGTAGCTTGTTCGGTGGAGCTCAAAAGCAACTTGGAAGAGAAGAAATCGCCCGTGGGTGGTCAACAAGTCTTGTTGTCTCGTGTGTTGCTAGTTCCATTCGATGTCAAATCATCCTCAATACTAGAAGCTTCCTCTTCCTTCCTCTCTTCCCTTCTGAACCCCCTAAGATACGACGGGATGTGTATTGAATAGCAGTGCGCCGAGGACGAAGAGGGGGGCAGTTCATCATCAGAACATCCGACATCAGAAACAGGGAAGGTCTTGGCCCAGCCGACAGCAGTCCCTGAATACGATCAGGGACGAGGCGTTGTGGAAGGGGGCCAGAAGGCGATCAGATCTGCAGCGCAGGCTGCTTCTTCCGTGGGAACTACGGAGTAGCATCCTCGTACTAGTCACTCATAAATAAGCTGCTGGAGAGCCTTCCGTACTTTGTTCTGATGAAGGCAGCGGGAGGAACCGCCGAGGAGAGAACAATGAGATCAATTAATCAATCACAAACAACAATAGTAACAACCCTAAATAAGGGAGATGAACAAACAAGGAAGTGCGTAACTTGGAAGAATAATGTATTTACCACAGATTTGATATATATTCAGTATTTTTGCCTACATTGTATGTACTATGCGAATCATGACTAGGAAGTAAAGCTACATCTTTCTCAGTAGTTTGGAATATATGAAGACACTCCAGCAGATCCATAGCCGGAAATCCTGTCTTGTCAATAATCAAACTTAATCTACAATAGTCAATGCGACAGCTCCATCTTCTCTCCTCGCATTCTATTCTTGCAACTTTCCCTGTCTTATTACGCCACAAGCACTGCTACCTATATTCTACCTGTTCTTTTCCTTTGATGATTCCTTGTTCCCTATCCCCACAACATTTCCCCCCTCCCGCGTGTAGTGCCCGAATTCAGTTATGAGTCTGGATTCCCCATCTAGTGATAATGCCACAACCATCCAGCAGATCATCTCCCTTTTTAATAGTCTGAGCACAAATTCCGCCCGGAGAGCTGCGTATGAGCCCACTCGTTCTAAGCCCACCTCCCCCATCCTATCCTGTTCCCCGCCCAGATGTGATAGTGCTAACTCCAAAGTCGAAGGTATCATGGACTGCTGAACCAACTGAACTCCGCCGAATGGTGCGATTTACGCGCACGCATCGAACAGCGAACCTTCCAGAAAGACATCCTCGGCGAGTCCCTGCCCGAGATCGCCCTTCAAATTGTGCAGCATCTGAGCGTGTCCGATCTTCACGTGCTCAAGAGAGTAGGTGGTTATCAGGGACAAAGGAGGAGGAGACTGGATCTGTTGATGGACCGGGACTTATCGCAGCTCGTACTTCCCAGGTCTCGAGACGATGGCACGCTCTCCTGTCATCTGCTTCCGCCCAGCGCACCGTATATCGCCAATGGACGAACAATCCCAGTGCGCACCTCACCACGGCCCAGATCACGCGGTACGCGCAACGGAGGCTCTCTCTGGAGCGCGGCCCACCCGTCGCTGCTGCCGCCGCCGCCGCACGGAGGGCCGTGAGAGTTATCGATGGCCAACCAAGCCCCCACAGCGCCCCCGCGCCCAACACCTTCGCGTACGCCCACGGGAGGTTTGCTTGGCTTAGGTGCCCCGACCTCCTCGTCGTTCATAGTATTCGCAACGGTGCAAGGCAGCAGTTCTGCACCGAAAACCGGGATCGCTTTCGATTGGTAGGGATCTCGAAATCCGTGGTTGTAGCGATCAGCACTCGCGCGTAAGTTTTTTTTTTTTTTTATTTTTTTTTTTTCCTTTCTTTCAACCCCCGCTTTGTCTAGATGATAGCTCGAGAAACATGATCGGACGATCTTGGGGTGTATAGTGCGTGCAAGGGCTCATAGGACAAAATGATTTTCCTCAGGTATTGTCATGTATGGGACCTGGAGACCGAGGAGCACGCCTGGTTCCGTATCCCATCCCTCAATGTGACCGGCTTCGTTGTACGCGACAACACAGTCGCTGTAGCCTACAACAGTTCTACGGTCACGGAATCTGGGGACAAGATCGATAGTGAATCCGTCACCTACTGGGACATGTGGTCGCGTGCCGCTCACACCGTCGAGAATGTTCCCCAAGTGGCATTACTAGACTTGCTGCCCGCCACAAAGACCCTCGTCGTTGTCCATATCAAACTTCAGGAGACGTACCGAGTGTGCATAAGAAAATATTCCATGGATGGTGAAGGACACGCGCACACCCAGCGCGCTTTTGCGTTATCTGCCGTTTATCGGGATTGGTCGCTCGAGATACTGAGCCGGTCTTGGGACATTAATCATTACCGGTTCGCGGTGTTCTTTGTGCAGTCACCATTGAACGGGGCCGCCACACGATCATTTCAGTGGGTTATAGCTACTTACGACCCTGAGATGGATGAAATCAGCCTGCATGAATTCACCTGGGATGACAGGCCCTATCATTTTTTAAGTGCGGCGGCTGTGGACCACAATCTGCTGTACTACCTTAGAGAGGACGGCGGCAGACCAGCTCTATGGATATCTAACACATCAGCCCAACCATCCCATCGAGCGGCGAGAGGAATGGATCCGAGCTGTCACGAAGCGGACGGTTTTCTCCTTGGGGATCGGGAGTTTGTTCTCCAGGTCCACCAGACCGAGACAAGAGCCTGGCCTGTGGATGATGATGCTCTGGCCAACGCTGAGTTTACGGCTGATTCTTAAGACCTGATGGTTCGCTGATCAGGCTCTAAGATCGAGAAGCCAATTCTAGCGGGACAGCCATCGTTCTCAAACGGCACGAATAGTCTAACTCGTTGTAACGAAGACATTGACAAAAGAAATAAACCTAGACATGGACGATATACAGAACCATCTATAAGAATTTCCCAGGTACTTTCGCCTGGATCGATCTCGTGTATCACCATTAAGTTTAACTCGTGGGCAACTCCCTTATGACCGATCATTCTCTAAGCAGCAGCAGTGCGTTAGCATCAAACCTTAAGAAAGAAAGACTGTCGCCCTCCTTGGCCAATAACTCCGCATCTCGCTGCATCTTCGAATTCGGATCTTCCTGTCCTCTCGGCCACCGGAAAGAAGAATATAGATATCAGGAAAAGAAATTGCAGAAAGCCAAAGAGGAGAAAAAATACAAGAGATAGTGGAGCATCAGCTAAGGAGACGCAGCTCTATGTCGACATGGAATTTAGATACCAAGAGTAAACTCAACACCGACATCAATCTCGCGGGCCAACTTGACGACCTTGGAGAACTGAACCGACTTCTCGGCAGCGCTCTGGAGATCCTCAATGGAGAAGATCTTGAGGCCAGAGTCGTTGAGCTACAAAGAAAATACAGTTAGCTCGGTACTTCGCTAATACTAAGAATGATGAAAAGCCATGGGTGTTCATACCAGCTTGTTCGCCTGCTCCATGTTGGTGCCCTGAAGACGGGCAACGATGGGGGTACGCAGGCCCATCTCCTGCACGACGTTGATCAAGCCCTGGGCGATAGCGTCACAACGGACAATACCACCGAAGATGTTGACAAAGATGGCAGTCACCTTAGGGTCGCTGGTGATAAGCTCGAAGGCGGACTTGATAGCAGCCGGGGTGGCACCACCACCGACGTCGAGGAAGTTGGCAGGGTTACCGCCGTTAAGCTTGATGATGTCCATGGTGGCCATGGCCAGACCAGCACCGTTAACTGCACTGGAGATTAGCGGAAGGCATGCTAATCTGAGTTCTTGTATTTGATCTTACCCAAGCATCCAATGTCACCGTCAAGCTTGATGAAGTTCAAGCCGTGTCTATACCCGGATTAGAATCTCTCCAAATCAGTTTGATTCACTTGGAAAACATACGTAGCAGCCTTGACCTCATCAGCGTCCTCTTGGGTGGTGTCTCTCCACTCGAAGACCTCCTTCTGTCTGAATTCGGCGTTGTCGTCGAAGTTCAGCTTAGCATCCATGGCCATGACCTTGTGGTCAGAAGTCTCGGAGAGGGGGTTGATCTCGATCTGGGTGGCATCCCTCTCCATGAAAACCTTGTACAACTTCTGGATAGTGTCGCGGGCCTCGTCAATGCATTGCTCAGAGAAACCAAGCTCGGTAGCGATCTTCGTGGCGATCTCGTCGGTAACGCCGACCTTGATATCGATAGGAGTAGTAAGGATGGCGTCGGGGTTCTCCTTAGCGACAGCTTCAATATCCATACCACCCTGAGACGAGGCGACAATGACAGGACCCTGGGTAGCACGGTCCATGAGAACGGCGAGGTAGAACTCGCGACGAGCGAATTTGCGCTCACAGATGTAAACGGAGTTGCAAAGACGACCGGCAGCACCAGTCTGCTTGGTGATGAGCTTCTCTCCAATCATCTGTCCAGCGAACATCTTTGCCTCGGTAGGCCTGAGGAAAAAATGGTTCATGTTAATAGGCAGAAGCGAATTATGACGCTACGAGTCACACTCACGAGTAGATCACGCGCACACCACCCTTCAGACCGTTACTGAAAGTACCCTTGCCACGGCCACCAGCGAGAACCTGAGCCTTGATGACCATATCATCGTTACCTATAACCATAGTCTTAGCGAACCGCGACTCCAACTGTAAGCATGGGAAAACGCACCGAGGGACTTGGCAACAGCCTCAGCTTCCTCTGCGGAGCGGGCGACTTCACCCTTGGGCATTCCGACGCCATACTAGCGACTTGTCAGCACCGCAAAAAGCCAGAACATGGTTGTAGATAGCGCGCGTGTGCCGTACCGACTTGAGCAAGTTCGCGGACAGGTATTCGTGGATGGAGAGGTTTCTCTGCTGCTGGCCCAGGCGGGACTGAACGGAAGATTCCTATGGGCAAGCAAAAGTATTAGCAGGTGAGACCATTTGGATTATGGAGAACTCAATTTTCAGTAGGCAAGGATAACTCACCGTCGCAGCTCTCAAGGCCGCGGTAACCGGTTTGCTGCGGGCAAGCTTGAACATTTTGGCACCAAGTAGGAAAAAAATCTATAAAGAGGGGAGAGGGATCAAGAGACACTTGTCAGAGAGGCAGGATGTAGGATAAAGAGAAGATCCTCCAAAGTGAGGTTTGGTGATAAGGGAGGGGGGAAAGTTGGGTGCTGATGGGAGAACAGCTTTCTTTTTCGCGGCTACGAAACTCGGGATGATATTATTACCTTGGGACGTTACGGGCGGTAGCAATCGGAGAGGTCACCTGACGGGCCAACCAGCGTGCGTTTTCGGCATGAGTAAGCCGTAGAGATCCCGAACGACTGACTGAGCAGAATAGATACTATGCCTCGTTTCCTTAACTTTATCTTTCCCTACTTGACCCAATCCTTCTCATGATATCAATAGACGGCGCAAAAAAAAGGGGCGCCAGCCTTAGCCCGGAGCTAAGTTGCTCATACTTAGATGTCCCAAGACCAGATCAATCTACCTCATTGGATCTTGCAATCTTGTCCTCAGCACATGATCCCACTACAACGGGCTCCTTACCATGTAAACCTGGAAGGACTCACACGGCTTTCTTCCCATCTTCCACCTTCTTCAATCTGTAAAGCTTGAACATCCTTGTCATCATAAACTGGAACAAGCCGGTCCAAGCCCACCCCCCACTCAAAAGCCAAACAACCCAACTTTTGTTACCTTCCCAGATCCAGCTACGGCTTCGCGCCCATGGCCAGACCCAACGCCATGGGGCTGGTCCATACAGTATTTGTGAGGCCACACTCCGCGCGTAAGCGGAATTTGGCATGGCTCCATCCTGACTGTGAACCACGCGTCGATTGTACTCCTCTTCGATCGGGAGATACATAGAATTGGGAGCGAGCGTACGTTCGATCCGAGCAATACGGGATTGCACACCTCCGGTGACGATCGTGGTGACATTGACCCTAGAAAGGTCAGAGGCTGCCTTTGGGGCAAGAAGGAGGGCAAATACGGGGTACACATACCCGAACGGAGCGAGTTCTACCCGTAAAGTTTCACTGAATGAATGCAGTGCGGCCTTCGAGGCATTGTAGACCGACCCAAAGACATATGGAATAATCTGGGTCAGTATTAGCACCAGCCTGCGAATTCCGACGCCTCTCTCTCAGTATATGATTCAGGTAGTGGATGCATACCCCAGCGACACTTCCGACTTGTACAATGGTTCCTTTGGCTCTAATGAGAAGAGGTAAGAAAACTTGACAAATGTAGATAATTGAAAAGAGGTTGGTTTCGAAAGTTGCGCGGACTTCCGAGAGCTCAGCCTCCATTGCTGGAACCGTGTAATCTGTCCATTGTGCGATCAATCTCCATCCATTGATCATCCGTCCATTGCCAGTAAGGACTTACTGCGGCCTCTAAAGATCATGTTAGCGCGTCAACTCGAACGGTATAAGGATTTCTCACGCATTATTCACTAGGTAATCGAGGCCTTTGCCTCCGAGTCGAGCCTTTATTTCTGAAAAGCAAGACTGTACGCTTTCTTGGTCATCCACCTCAAGGCTCAACGTTTCGATCCCAATTGATGCCAGATCTTGAAGGGTGTCCGCACTTCTTGCTGTCGCGAACACGCGTAGCCCATGTCTGTGGAATTCACGAGCCAGAGAGTTACCTATTCCACCAGGAGAACATCTATGTTTTTCGGAGTCAGTTTCTATTTATTCAATGCTTGTGTCAGGCTGCTACACTAGGTGTTGTGGAAATTACAAGCACATCCAGGAGATGTCTTAAAGCTTACCCTGTGATCAGGACAGACATTTGCTTGTCATCGATGCCGGCCATTGTATGAATATTCTTAATTTGCGTGTTTTGTCCGTAAGTCTTACTACAAAGGTGTTGTTCGGTACAGTTGCAATTTTTTATCACAGTGGTTACACGGTTGGGGACATATATTTGAACCTCGGCATTTACTCTTGCCATGAGCTTGCAGGGGTGGGATTATGCCAAGAAACCCATTTCGTACATTGGGGTAGTGACCATCGGTAGGTATGTACCCGTGCGAGTGCCTGCCTGCCACTACCCTTGACGATTTTGGAAAAAGAAAGAGATTCCATCTATAAAACAAACCACAACGGAAAGATAGATTAGTAAGAGCTATTTCTGCCACAAATGACGGTAGCAGATGATGGCTTCGTGTCCATGAATATTGAAGAAAGATGACCCAATCCATAGGTCTTGAGGCGTGCGTACTACAACATGCATTGGGTGATATATACACTCAGTACCTGCAGTCATACTCTCCCACAGAAACACCTGCCACTCCGTTCTATTTTGAAGGCTATCGATCTGATATCCTGTGAAAGGCTCTAAATACACGATCTGGGAGCTTTATCACCCAATCTATATTGTTGCTTCAGATCTACCCCGCTAAACCATAGTCTGGGACCCAATGAGGCGGGATCCCCAATGTGCATAGTCGCTAGTAATTGCGATTTAGATTCCGATTCCAGATAAAACCGACTGGGCTAGTACAAAAGAGGAGATTGTTATAGTTGAATTAACTTGATCCCTTATTATTATTCGTATCTTGAGCCACCAAGCACTAAAACTCAGGTCTGACTATAGACAATCAGGTAAGGGCGACTATAAAAACCCATACTAGCAGAAGCGTTAGGCTAAGGTGCTAGTGCGCCTCTTCGAGCAATCGCACGGACCCCTTTGACAGACGGCTCGAGGAGCTTTGTAGCCACAGGAAAGAGTTGGATTATTTGAGTATATTTCTTGAAGTGCCATAGACGTCCAGTACATGCATGGAATCGATTTTGAAGACCATACAAACATTACCTACAAGCTAACATATGCTACCGGAGGTCTCCGGACTCCGTCTCTGCGGAAGCGAGACTGCGGGGCAGTTCAGGGATTTAGCGGCCGGAACTGTATGCTGATAGGTCCCTTGCATGTCTAGTTAGGCACTTGGCAGGCGGGCGATGGCGGGCAACCTTATCCTCTGCTTATCCCCAGTCTGTGACTCTGTGCAGTCTTGACTCCTTTAGTGCGTCATTAAGTAAGGAAACCAAAAAAAGGGAAAAAGAAGAATAAAAAAAAAGACAAGAGAAGAAAATTTCGGATTTGGATAATTATTTTCTTCTTAAGTGCCCTTAAATTTACCCCTCATTGCTTGTCTTATCTTTGTGGCACGATCATTTTCTAAAAAATTTTCCCCCTCTACTTCCCGCTGTAGTGCTCAGTCAAAGCTCCAATCCACCAGATTCAATCTCCGATCTCTCTACTTTCGTACGCACCATATCCAACACTCTGTGTTTACTTGCCTCCCCGCCGCCAAAATGACGCAAAAGTACTATGTCACCTATAACCAGGTATGCTTGCTTACTTCTTTGTTTGTGGCCTCCTGCAGACCAGACCTTTGCTTCGCCCGCCCCTCTCGCGCAGTATCTCTTGCTCGCTATCACTGTCCGCATGCGCGCACTGTCTCGCCAGGTCCAGCATGGGTTTATAAAATCACCGTCGATCATTTGGTTAACGTCTACCGGAACGTGACAGGTCCACAAACTATGCCAGGACTCTGCCGACAAGATCTTGTCCACTATCCGCCCTAATTTGATGATCGCCATTGGTGGTGGTGGTTATGTTCCTGCTCGTATCCTCCGGTTCGTGGCAGCCCACTTTAAGTGAAACCCAGAGCTGCTTATTCTAATTCTTCTCTCGCCTAGATCTTTCCTGAAGCGCTCGGGCGAGCCCAACATTCCTATCCAGGCTATCGGTTTGTCCCTTTATGAGGACCTCGGCCGCGGCGATCCGGAGGAGGTTCCCGGTACCAAGGTCACCCGGACACAGTGGCTCGACCTTAGCTCTTTGGAGATGTCGAACTTGATCGGCAAGAACATCCTTATTGTTGATGAGGTTGACGACACTCGCACAACCCTCGAGTACGCCGTGCGCGAGCTCCAGAAGGATGTCGAGGACGCGCAGAAGCAACTCGGACGGGAAGGCGAGAAGACGAACTTCTCTATTTTCGTGCTTCACGTATGACATTTCTCCATGCTCTCCCACTCCGAGAAGAGCATCCGACTTTTCTGACTCGATATACAGAACAAGAACAAGTCCAAGAAGGGTGTCTTGCCAGCTGATATGATGGAATCCGGTCGTTACCATGCCGCGGTTACTACCGAGGATGTGTGGATCTGCTATCCTTGGGAAGCCAAGTATGTTATTCTTCCGCGAATTGTCCATTGCATTGCAGCCGTTAGAAGGTGTTATTGACACACTACAACAGGGACATTGATGAGCACGACCGCTTGGCCAAGGAAAATCCTCTCTTCTAAGCTCCTCGTCCGTCACCACTTGTATAACTTATCCGACGCTCGATGTCCCGGGCCCGCCGTTCCTGCATCCCAGTTCATCTATCATGCATACACATTGCTTCGCTTTACAAGACACTTTATACTCTTTTTTTCCGACATCGGACATTGCTGGATGGTGTTATTTGATTGATTTTTATAGAACAAAAGCAAGAGACCACTGAAGATCAAATCGTCTGGCTTTGCATGCCAAAATGCAGCGACTCTCTATTCGATGTGGACGCTCCCGCCCGCTCCGCGAATGGGATATTTCATCATTCCCACAGAACTAGAAAGACGGCCGTAGCGTCTTCGAGTACTGCGCTTACCCCTCCGGAACCACCATGACTGGTTAGGGGAAACCCCTACATTTCAGCGTATCTGTTGGATCTTCATCCGGCACAACAAGATGGAAGCAGCTACTTCGAGCCATTGTCCTTGGCCTATCTGGTTTTTGGTCTAGATTGCCTATAGGGCCCTGCATAACTTATAGGACAGACTACTATATCACAGGGGAAGCGATATGATCATAGGAATCATCCACTAGATAAATCTTAAGCTACAGCCATTCCTGTGCAGCCCCTGTAATATCGATCCTTGCCCTTAGCAATTCAACGCTTGTGGATGTGCCGCACCAAACGCCAACCCCTCTCTCATATGCGATGCGTTATAGGATAAACATAAATTGTACAGAGTCCACACAATAAAGTACATTGGTGGAGATTTGAATGGTCCAATCGTCCGCCCGCATCAAACACTTCAGTCAACGTCGATATTCGCCCTACGCAATTCGGCCTTGGCCTGTTCGATCTCCTTTTGCAGCTCCGTGTGCGCCTCCGGGACATCGTTGAAGGTGAGAATCGCTAAGCCTAAGCGGCCAAGGAGGTAGCATCCGAAGCATATCAGAGCATAGAAGGGAAGCTAGTTCGGAAGACGCAGATGGTCAGCGGGGTGAGAGGCAGGGGACAGAGAAAGGGCCGGGTTGCATTGCAGGACGCACGACAGGGATTATCTCATTCTGAATGATTTCGTTGAGGGGCACAAGACCCAGGTATAGAGAAAGGTAGAGCTGAATCCAAGACTCCGCATTAGCGATCAATATAGCGTTGAGGGGGCGAGGGTATCCATCATACCGAGGAGACGAGCAGGAGAACGGAGAGGGTCTGCTGAGCACGCGTCATGGTGATGGTCGTGGTTTGGAAGTTGAATACAAGTCCAAGCGCAAAACTGGAAGCCAGGCTGTTGCGATGTAATTGATGAGGGGAGAGAGGTTAGTTAAAGGATTGCTTTGAATTATAGGAATGAGTGACTAGATTGAAGATCCGCAGTGCTGTCCTTCTTCGCCGTATTGACGCGCTGTAGGTGAGACCGGCTGCGCCCCTTGGCCGCTGTGTCTACCGTACTGCTGCAGCCGCCCCTCATGACAGGTTGGCATCTGGTAAGATACCTGAGGTACTTACTTCGTATTACCACGTAGCCACGTTACCCTTTGTTGCTGACACATTGGACATACGTCAACAGGAGATCATTGCATTTCTTGATCTCAAGATGCCGGAGAAAGTGACTGGGGCTTCTCACTCAAATGCTACCAGATGGGAAGTAAGCAGTTATAAGAAAAGCTTCACCGTGATCATGTCGCATGTCGCGTACTGTAACAGAGTCTTAGGTATACCTCGACTTTAATACGCCCTGATCCGTCACGTTTATTAGACCCAAGGTATTATTGACTTGGTGCCTGAAGAAAGGTGGTTAAGATTCATACTCGATGGTACTACGGACAGGCCGATTCTCTCTTCTGCTTCTGCAAAGAGAAACCCGAAACACCTCGTTTGTCTTTTAGTGGGAACCGAGACCCCGGGCCAAGGAACAGACAGAATTTATATATCCTTCCAGCGATACTTTCGACCTGACGGAAGATTCAGTTTCGGGTATAATTGATTGAGCAGAAACAGAGGCCTCCCATTGCCCACCCTTGTATCCAAAATAAACGGACTCCACTGAGATTATCAGACAAGCTTGATGCACTGATACGTTGTTCTAACCGCAAACTGAAGGATGAGCACTGCACCAGACGTACCAAGGGCGCAAGGAGGTGATGATGCAGCCTTCAATTCGTCGTGTGTATTGACGGAAGTAGGGCCATCAAAGGGAATTGAGTGTCCTGACTTGGACCAGATGTTCTCGACATTGGCCCTATCACCTATGGGACCTGTGGTCGAAGAATTCGAACCTGTGCCACTTGAAGATCAACAGCCTCTATTGACTTCCTTACAGGAGTCACTAAAGAAAGCAGAGGAGCGATGCACCATTGAAGCCTTTATAGACGATGAAAAGATTCTCTATAAACTCTGGAAATGCAGGTCCCGGTATCTGCTGCCGGCCGCTGAGGCTCTGGCCAATGGAAGTAGGAATGGTAAGGCAGCCGTCCATTGTAGCTATTGTTGTTATTCTGATCAGGCTACAGCACCCTGGCGCATTTTGTATGGACAAGCTGGTATACTAGACTTCTTTCTCCAGCTTGTAGCATCAAAGGAGGCTATTGAGGATGATCTTCTCCTGCATTCACTGCGACTAGTTGGTAATTCCTGCGCTGATACGAGTAAGTTTCGCCATTTATCCGTGACATAGCGCAGCCTAGCACTGACTACTAGGTAGACGAGAATCGGGAGATCCTAGTTAAAAACAACTATACCTCCGCCATTATACGACACCTGGCCAACCCAAAGCTTATTCAGGTGGCTATACCTGTTCTATATAATATATGCATTGATTTCGGTACATGCTGATCTGCGCTTTTTCCGAATGGACATTCCCCAGAGCTGACATTGCATAGAACCCGCCCAGTCTCAGATAGCTGCCAACAAGATTGTCTATATTCTTCTGAGATTGTTGAAGGATAACGCTCTTGCGAAGCACCCGGCTCTACTTGATTATGTCTACGAGCTTATTGATTTGGTTGGGGAACAAGGCATGCGTGACGAACGACCTCTAGAGTTCATTAGACTAACGGTATCTTCACAGAGCAAGGAATCTCCTCGTCCCCAGATGCCACATTGGTGCTTCTTCTAGACGTGCTGAATGAACAGAGGGCGGTTTCGTCTCCAGCGCACTATCCCTCTCTCGTTACTTGTCTTGGTGCTTATTTGGACAAAACACGATTTCAAACCACGTGTCTGTCCAATGGCTTGATGCCCCAGGTTCTATCAGTTCTCGAGCGATCACTGTTATTCAAGGATGAGGAATGTTCTAAAGAGGACATGCATGCCTTGTCACAGGCTCGGTTGAAGATAAATCAGACACTAGCCGAAGTCTCCGCATTGCCACTATTCGCAGAGCTCTATCCGCTTGATTCCGATCTTGTGCGCTTACTGGGCTCTTGGCTGGAGGCAAAGGAGGACCAGCTTCAGATCTGTTCGTGTGTTGTCCTTGGCAATTTGGCAAGATCGGACGCAGTCTGTGAAGAGATGGTTGAAAAGCTGAACATCCACAAGGCGCTCATATCGCTCCTGAAAAGCGAAGCCAGGGGCGCAGTGCTTCACTCGGCACTCGGCTTTCTGAAAAATCTGGCAATTGCCGGTAACAATAAAGATCGGCTCGGAGAGGCCGGTCTTATTCCTGCCGTTTCAGGCCTCTGGCAGTATGAGACAGTCCCCCAGGTTCAGTTTGTTGCAACTAGCATCACACGGCAGGTGATCATCTCCTCAGTGGGGAACATCGCTCGCTTGCTTGAGGAGGCACCTGTGGGTGACAAGGAGATCGAGGGTGAAGGGAAGACCTACCTCTCATTTCTCCTCGCGCTGTTTGCAAAGACAGACTCAGCCCCCATCAAAACGGAGATCGGGCGTATCGTGGCTTCTATATGCCGCACCTTGGTCCCCAGAGTGCGTGAGAAGGATAGCGGTGCCGAGGCCCTCCTTAGAAAAACCTTTGAGCCGCACGACGATATTCCGTTACCTGTGGGTGCCATGATCACTCAGTCACAATGGCCAGTTGTTCGGAGCGAGGGCTGGTTTACTCTTGCTTTGATGGCGTCGACACAAGGTGGGTTGATTGTAGCCTCGAAATGTATAGAGAAGATGGGCATTATGCCAGTGCTCGAGGAAGTGTTTGCTGCAGATTCGACCGATTTTACCGAGGCAGACAACCTGCAACTCAACAAGGATCGCGGCAACATCATTGTGCTTATGCAAGAGTTGCTGAAGAGTGATGTAAGTTAATCCGGACTCTAATCACCGCGTATGCGATGCACTAATCATATTCTACAGGTGGACACTCTCCCGGACTCTTCGAAGGCCAGTTTTCAAAGGCTGATGAACAGCCATGCCTCCAGATATTTTCAACTCACTAACTGAACAACCACAATTAAAGAGCCTTATATAAGGCGTGCCAATCGGAAAAGGAGCAAGGTGCTCATATACTCACATGAAACCTTGGGCCTAGACTCTCGATATCTATTGTTGGTCCAAGATGTGCATTTTAGTCCACCAATAATTTCTAAATAGAACACCCATGGTGCTGCTTTAGTTGGATCCCGGCCACAGAGAGCCTACATGCCTTTACAAATAGCTTCTTCTGCAAACAATTGATATCGTTTGAGCAAATCAGTAGAATCTAGACCCTCCAGACCCTGGCTGCTTGAGTAGTGTACAGCCAATCCTTTCCCATCAATCATGCTATTTTCTTCCACTTGGTCGTCTGAGAGAGGTTTCAAAAATGTCATGCTATCGAACTCCTTGAGCAACCGTTTCGTTGCGACACTCCCCCAGAAGCAAAGGAAGTTCAGGCTGATGTTTGTTGATGGTACACTCCACGTGGGGAATTTGTACCGATTGAGATGATTTAGCTCTAAGTGGTGCAGAAAAGAGTAATGTTGCTGAGCGTTGACAGTCCAGTGGTGCATACTAGGTCCTTTCGGAGCGTACTTCGCCATACTAATGGGAGTGAGGCTGTAATTGTAGTAGCCCGAAAGGAGCCATCGGTGGCTGGTAAAGGGCGGAGCGAATTCCTCATCCATGGTAAAGTCACTAGGCCCCTGCCATGGCGGAAGACGAGAGGCACGCCAATCGTGCATTTCGATCTTGGAGGACGAATGCGTGGGACTCAGCTCCGGGAGATAAGGCAAGGCGACGCTGGCATGACTATGGAGGGCCTCCAAGGCTGCTTCGTTGATGACGTTCGCCGAAACTAAGGGCAGATCGGGGTGTTCGAGCTTGGTTTTGACGACCGTCGAGATTGTATGGTCTTCTAGAAACACGATGTCGCCATCGATCCAAATATAGAGTGTGTCCTTTTTAAGCTGATCCAGTTGCGAACGGGGATCTCCCTGCACGAGCGTGTATGAGGGGTTCTGCTCGACTATCGATGCGAGCCATTCCAGACCCCTCGTATCGTTGGTTTGGGGCAGAAACATGACTTGGTCGACGAGCCCATGGTTGGATACGAGATTGTTCTTGCGATGCAAGTAAGCCCATGAATGTTTGGACCTACAGAGAGCGGACCTTACTCACTCGCAGATAACAATTCAGGATCTCGGTGCGCTGCCAATGGCGGAACGGAACCAAGGCAACGATATCAAAGCCCTGCGGCTTGTCGAATTCCCCCGAGCCTTCCGAATAGGCATAAAAGGGAGCGAGCGAACTGTTCTTTCCAAGCTGATATAGCATGTTCCAGCTAAATGACCATCGGCCGAAGCAGTGAGGGACTATTGTGACTCTGAGCAGACAAAGGCACAGAAAAGTGAGGCACAACGAGAAGGGCGTCCACCAGGGGCGTTTGGACGCAACATCACGAAGCGATTCGGGATCACGTTTGTAGTCAGAATGGCCCATCTTGAGATCGAATGATCAGGTTGACTTGAAATGCTTTCACATTGCGCAGAGCTTGGACTAAGTAGAAAGCTATCGAGCGACTTCGGTCGAGTGCAGTGGGCTCTGCCTAGTAGAATACAAGATCTACCGCAAAAGCAGAGACAGAGACCCTGTTTTCGTCGATAGTTCATGCCGAGCAAAGCATGACGGCCGGATTTGGACTTTTTCCCGAGTCAACCGGGTCGAGAGGAGAGTTCCCCGTGACAAATCTCCTTTGCCCAGACATCAAAAACAGCGGGAAAGCGGGTATGGAAAGATTCCAAAGCAAGGGTCAGCCATTTCGCTTAGTAGCATAGTACAGTACAGTACATGAGGAGTTTGTCTGTTGGTCTTCGTGGTGTTGATGTTGATGATGACGATGACGTCGCAACCACGTGCTCGCCCGCTGCCCGCTGCCCGCTGCCCGCTGCCCGCCGCCTGCACAGCTCCAGTTCTCAACTCTCTTTTTGCTTTCTTCCTCCTCCTCTTCGTCCTAATGGCCGTACCGCTCTTATCGTTATGCTCACGCGGGGCCTTTGTCTTGCTCTTCAATGACCGTTCTATCCGCTACTCGAAACTTTTCTATATGAGAATATGAGGACGGCCGTCCTCTTTGGCCGCTTCATTGTGTGTCGTGGTAGAGGCCCGCCACTACTATCCCGCTTCCCCCAACTATCTCGACCGCGCTTCGGTCGTCAGCCAATATGGTCGCGACAATCCGGGTCGGGACGGTCAGGAAATACCCCTGGGTGTCGCACGGTACTCCTTGCTGCGCTGGCCCCGGGGGCATTTCTGAAGCTTGCCGAGGAAGGGGACGGGGAACGCGGCAAGACAAGTGAGATGCAGATGCTAGAAGTCTCGCGCCGAGAGATCCAGAGGAAAGTCGACGAGGAAGCAAGTGGTTTGTCTAGGCTCTGGCAAACCTTGGTCCTTTACGGGCATCGCTTCGTATACGATCCGATAGCTACCGGTTTTCGCTTTGTCCACCTGCTCATAATTTTCCTGCCTGTCGTGTTCACGGCACCCATCTTATGCCTTGGAGGAAATGGGAAGAATCGGGAAGCGGTGTCGTCGGGGACCATTTGGTGGTACAAGTTTCTGGTGCGGTCCATGGAACGTGCAGGCCCAGCGTTCATCAAGGTAAGATCCAAGCCGTATACTTTTGTTTGCTGCACCTAGTAACAGGCGTGTCTGCTTCAGCTCGGACAATGGGCAGCATCACGTACCGACATCTTTCCTCCCGACCTGTGCGACATCATGTCTTCTCTCCACTCGAACGCGCCTGCACACTCGTTACGCCAGACCAAGAAGATCATCAGCAAGGCTTTCAACAACCTGCCCTTCGAAGATATTTTTGAGGAATTTTATGAGGAGCCTTTAGGAGTAGGTGCCATCGCCCAGGTCTACAAAGCAAAATTGAAGCCCAACCTGGCGGGAACAGACGATGGTGCTTTCGACGGTCAACCGTCCGGTTTACGAGGGAAGGTCCGGAAGAATGTCGAGGCCTTGGTCAAGAGCAGCCCTCAGCGGGTTCCGTCGTCATACGTAGCCGTCAAAGTGCTGCATCCAAAGGTGGAGCGCATGATCCATAGGGACTTGAAGATTATGTCCTTCTTTGCCTCTCTGATCAATGCCATCCCTACAATGCACTGGTTGTCTTTGCCGGACGAAGTCAACCAATTTGGAGAGATGATGAAGCTGCAGCTGGATTTGAGGATCGAAGCAGCAAACCTGGTCATGTTCCGGGAGAAATTTAGGACCCGGACTACAGCCTGGTTTCCTTACCCGTACATAGACTATTCGACCCGGGAGGTGCTCGTGGAAGAGTTCGCCCAAGGGATCCCCCTCTCGACCTTCCTTGACGTCGGCGGAGGGGTTTACCAACGAGAAATTGCGAATGAGGGCCTGGATGCCTTCCTTCACATGCTATTGATTGACAACTTTGTCCACGCTGATTTACACCCAGGAAACATCATGGTACGATTCTATCAGCCAAGTGAATTAGACCTGTCCCTCCGCAATAAAAGCCGTGCATCGGATGCACCAACTACAGCCGAAGTTGATGTCACAGAGTCGGTGCTTGCTCGGCTGCGACCGCATGCCAGTAACCGGCGCAATTGGGAGTCGGTACTTGATCAATTGAATGCAGAAGGATATCGACCCCAACTTATCTTTATTGATACCGGACTCGTGACACAATTAAACGACCTCAACCGCAGAAACTTCATCGATTTGTTTCGCGCGATTGCCGAGTTCGATGGATACCGAGCAGGTGAGCTTATGGTCGAGCGCTGCCGCCAGCCGGAAGCTGTGATTGACCCTCATTACTTTGCATTGAGAATGGAGCATCTGGTCTTGAATGTCAAGTCGCGGACGTTCGCACTGGGCAGCGTCAAAATCGGCGACGTTTTGAGTGAGGTGCTGTCCATGGTCCGAAGTCATCATGTTCGAATGGAAGGGGATTTCGTCAATGTCGTCATCTCCTGTCTTCTTCTCGAAGGTATTGGCCGGAACCTGGACCCGGACCTCGATCTATTCAAAAGGTGGGCTGTCCAATGAATGACGCGCAAAGCTTGTATACTGACGCAGCCGATAGTGCCCTGCCGATACTGCGAAAATTAGGTTCGAATGTCACATCCCTGAAATCAGTCCGGTCCGGGGATGTGTCTATGCTCCGTATTTGGGTAGGACTTGAAGCGCGTGAACTGCTCCAGAGCAGCATTGACAGCGTTGAACAGTGCGTCAAATATGACTTGCTGTCCCCTAACATCTGAAGACAGATCGGATCAGAAGGTCAACAGCAAGATCTCGGCACTGATGTAGAGAAATTACGTAATCTCATTTGATGCTTAGAACATGGATAGAATATGAACCCCGATGAATACAAATCGCGATGCAACCACCGCATCAACATAATCAGAATGCACTCTATTATATATGTAGAATAGATTCCCTGGACGAAGTATAGGTCCTCGGCCCCAAGTAAAGAGATGAGAAAATTATACCTGAGCCGAGTACAAGTAACTTAATCATTGCGGCCGTTGTCCTCTCTCGAGAACTTGACCGTTAAAGGAGCTCACAGCAAAAGATAGTAAATAATACATGATACATGAGAAGGGTGTGAAGAATGAAAAGCCACAGAATGCAGAACAGTCCCACAGATTAGGACAACTGGTCAGACGCCCGCGCCTTCTGGGAGTGTATACCGGTGCAGAAGATCCAAAAAAAAACCCAACTTTGAGAAACCACATTCATGGTCGGTTAGTTTCCGCCAATCTCCCGAACTGAGGCGCCGCTAGCCCGCCACCAAACATCTCCTCCCCATCTCATCAGCCGCTCAACGGCAGCGGTCGGTGAGTCCAGAGCTGGTCTGATGTCGAGGAAGAACACCGGTTCTCCGTTGGGTTCCGGTGGGCCGGAATAATAGTCGATAACATAGCGGACTTCCTTCGGGCCCGACGGGGTCTGCCGCATCACAAACCAGTCGTGTCTATCAAAGGGCGGGCTTGATCTGTAGTAGAGGAGCGGTAGTGTTAGTAGATAGGACGCGCATGAACGGCGGACGACCGCATGGGGGGGAATACTAACTCATATTTAGCCGGATAAAGCCAGCCCAAGGCTTGAAGAATCCGTGCCTTGGGTGTCAGCTCCTGAGGCCGGCCCTGGAACCGGATGAGCCGCGGTGGAGGGATCTGCTGGGAGGAACCGGAAATCTGCTCCCGGAGTTCCTCCATTGCGAGATTCTCTTCTCCACGTCGGCACTTCTCCCAGCCCTCCGAGAGGCCCTTGGAAAAAATGCGCTCCCATCTCACGATCTCGTCCCAGGCACCCTCATTCAGGAAGTTATGGACGGCAACCATCGCCTCAACGGCATCCTGCGGAGTATCGGTATAGCCCTTGCGAAGCATGGCATTGTACATCTGTTGCGGAGAAGGGTATTCCCAGTTGCCATCGGTGTCCGATCTTGGGATGGATGAGAGTTCCCGTTCCACGGGGAGATCCAAGGTCTGATTGGGAGCTCTTTCTTGAGAGATAGACGCGAACATGTAATTCAGAGGATTCAGTTTCGAGAGGGTAGACTTCGTCTCGCCTGGGGTAGCGGATGGTGGTGGTTGATTGCCTGGAGATTGCGGCTTGGCTGGCGCATAGAAAGGGGAGTCAGTAGGTCGGACCGGACAGGCACTTGGTGCCTCCGAAGCAGCTGGAGTCGGCGAAGCAGAAGTAGTGTTGGAAACGTGCATTGGACACCCCGGCTAGACACGACATTTAGTGATTTTTGATATGTTCCTCAGCGTCGCAAAATAGACATACCGGAGGCGAGGCATCGGAGGCCGCCAGCGGGTTCGGAGCCGCGGGAGTAGGCTTGGGTTGTGAATCTGCCCAGAACCAGCCCATGGTGTAGGAGAGTATGTTGATGGAGATAACAAAGTATGGCAGCTGAAACAGACAGAGATGATGTCGACGATGTCAAGAAAGGCCTTCTTATTTGAATCTGCGAGCGGTCAACAGAAACTGTCGTCACAGAAAAAACAACTTTTTCCTGGATTTGGAATCCGGAGGAAATCCCGCCCGCCGCCCGCCGCCCACGTGATGTCCCGAGTTTGGCGACCAATTATCAATAGCCGATATACGACAGGATTCTCAAGATCTGTCATTCTTGCGTTCGCTAAATTGTATATGTACAGTTTCGCAACTTGAGTGGTTATTGTGATGCGAAGCTCTTGAAGATCTAGAGCAATATTCCAAGTGTGATCAAATGACGCCTTGCCATTCTTCGAACGCCCTACAAAACATAGAATCACATAAGTCCGCAAAGCACTCCCTTTGAGTCAATTAAATGGATTAAACGTTATGCCCTTTTCCGTGAAACAATATGATCGGAAGGACGAAATGTGCTGAGGGTCAATGCAATACTCACCCGGAATCGACCCAAAATTTGTTTGGAAAAAAAGAGGTATTTAAGCGGCTCATCCCTGGACATCGTTTACCAGCCTTGTAAGCAGCGCATACCCGAAAATGATGGCAAAGCCTAGCCAGATCTTGTTGCGGCGAACCCAACTTTGACCAGCTTCTCGCGCAACGTGGCCACCCTCCACAACAACTCCCAAACCTGGAGCACTACCGTTGGGCCGTCTGCGGAGAGCGCTGGTTTCCGGGGAGCATTTGGTGGCAGCATTGGGGTCTGGCAAAAGCTGGCCTGTGTTCGTGTCGATGCGGCTGTCCTTCATCCATCTCCAGTTCTCGTGGTCGAGTTCTGGCCATTCCGTACGAAATTTCAATCCCCCATCTCCAGCCTTGACATTGTTGATTCCTTTGGCGGAAGGAGTGACTCCAGGTTTAGCACTGATGTGAGAGCCTCCACCGGTGGAATTCCACCATCTTGACCGTGCAGCTAGCACTCTCCGTTCCGCCTCCGAAGCACTCACGCTCCCAGTGGTCATCTCTTCACTTGTCATGAAAGAGAGCAGTCCGATCAGAATCGTGGAAACCTCCCAGGCCGGGTTGAATGACTTTGGATGGTAGTCGCTGATGCTGAGGCAAAGGCGAGTGGATGGTTGGAACCGACCGCTCGGGGTGTGCATGCGGATGGCGGGTGGCGCAAATGGGTATTCAGGGGGAAACATCAGTGTACCCCAGTATTGTCCATTTTCGTAAGGCGTACCCGGAGGACCGGTGAGGATGTAATGCCACCTGATCCAGAAGGTATATTAGCATGAATCCAAGAATGAACGGCTCGTGTCACGGAGTGAGGGGTACACACTCGAGGATATTGGTTTCTGAGGGGTGGGCAATGATGTATGGCGGAGGATTCTTTTGAATGTTTTGATATTCGCGAGTGAGCTGCTTAAAAATTAGACAAGACCGCATAGATGGCCGCAAGCAGGGAGATATTCGACCCACCCGTTTATAGGCTGCCTTGGTCGCCATGCTTTATAGTTCGTAACGACGGCCGTGCGACGCACGTCGAGGTATTGAAGACGAAAGATGGATAGCGGTAAAACAAAGAAAAGAAAAAGGCAGTAAGAACTGAATCAGGACGCAGGACAGTTCTTCCTTTGTATAAAGCAGGCAGGTTGCCTATGAAAGTGAATGTTGAAAAGACACAAGAAGGATGAAACGTCAGAAGGCTGGACAACCCGGAAGGCTAACTAACTACGTATAAGTTAAGCCCCCCTCCCTCTCCGAAGGATGGGAGACCACCGGTCACGTGCGCGGGAGAATCGCCTCAGCCTCTCCGAGGTCTTCGCATCACCGTGCCAAAGTGGAAAGCGAAGGAAGCAAGCAAGGTCTCTCGTTTGGCCATTGCCGCCGCAGCAATGTCTTCTCCACTTTCCGTCGACGACGGAGATGTCAGTCAATTCCTTCTTTTTGTCCCACTGACTATCACAAAGCGGCTAGACTGACAATGTGCTCGACGTTCGCGCTTCTAGATCTTCGAGCGTCTCCAACAACGTACCGACCCGAAGGTGCAGGAAGAGCAGCAGAAAGCTGTCAATGAACGGGTCAGAGCAATTTATGAGAAGGCACAAAATCGCCTCGGTGAATTGGTCAGTTTCGCAGACTCATCTATCCTCGAATTGCTCTGCCTTGGGCCAGGGAGCCCGGATAAATCAGCAACAAATGACTAACGCGGTTGTTCACGATGGCATCAGATTGACCAAAATTCCACTCTACCATGTGTCATTTCTTCAGTGCAGGTTCACGGAGCTCGCCATACCCGCAGAAGCTTTTTGGAGCAGATATTCAATCCTCTGCTTAGCAGCAATCAAACTAGGCCCTATACGCTCTCGGAAGCCTTGCAGGAAGTATCGGCACGTGCGGACAAGCTTGGCAGGTTTGGTGGGTTGTTTCCTTGTATCATTCTATGCTACAGATTAACTGCTAATACGGGTACAGATGTCTTTCAACAGCCGATCTCGGTATATCTAGATCAGTCATCACTGGCTGACCCGCAAACTGGTCTCCCGTCCATTGATGTCCTGCTGTCGGTCAAGGAGAAGTCTCGCGTCTTGCTCAAGACGGGTACTGATCTTGGAAATACTGAAGGGTCCGCTTATGGTAACCTTCTCTGGCGTAATATGTTTGGAGGTGCAGAAAACCTGAACTTGAATGCTTCGCTGGGCACCAGGACAAGATCCGCGTACCAGGCCACCTTCGACACCCCACTTTTCAGCGATCCCGATTTCCGCTTGGAGCTTGGTGGAATTGCTAGTGCCACACAGAAGTCTTGGGCAAGCCACGAGGAGGTTCTGAAAGGCGGGTGGAGCAAACTTCGCTGGATAAGCTCGTCCGGACACCACCATGAATTTGGATATAACGGTTTCTGGAGACAAATGACTGGCCTTTCCGAAAATGCATCCTCGACTGTTCGCGCCGATGCCGGAGACAGTGTGAAGAGCAGCGTCTTCCACAGCTGGACTAAGGACCGGAGGGATAATGCGCTCCTTCCCTCGCGGGGCTACTACGCCAAGGCCTTCAATGAGCTGGCTGGCTGGGGTCCGCTCAAGGGCGATGTCTCTTTCTGGAAGTCGGAGATTGAAACACAAGCTGCGGTCCCCGTCCCCATCCCTGGTCTTAAGGGCGACAGCGGCGTCAGCTTCACAACTGGATTCCGCGCGGGACTTCTGTACCCTCTCGGGCTTGACTCGGATTCTCGACCACAGTTATCTCGCGTTAACGACCGTTTCCTCCTGGGAGGCCCCACAGATGTGCGTGGGTTCCGTCTTTGTGGCCTCGGACCGCATGACGGAGCGGATGCGGTTGGAGGAGACGTGTATGCTGCGGGAAGTGCCAATTTGCTGCTTCCACTCCCGAGAGTGGGTGCCGACAAGCCTTTCCGTCTACAAGCATTTGTGAACGGTGGTCGTCTTCTGCCGCTGCGCACGGCTGACAAGAATGTCCCCACTTCCAGTGGCGAGGTGAAAGATGCCATGGTATCGACCATCTCCGAGCTGGTAAATGGTTTGCCCAGCGTTGCTGCAGGTGTTGGACTGGTTTATGCTCATCCAGTTGCCAGATTTGAGTTGAACTTCTCGCTGCCGCTAGTGTTGCGGAAAGGCGAAGAAGGCCGCAAAGGCCTTCAATTGGGAATCGGCATTAACTTCCTGTAAAATTAAGCCAGAGCGATGTATTGTAGCATTTTGAATAGAAGGATATTGTTCCATTCTCTAGCAGCCTGAATCGAGCGTTTTGGAGGCCGTGCCAATGTGCATTTATGTGCTGTGACCAAATGTACTGTACACTCTCAGAATTCATAGATCAGATAAGCTGTTACATAGCGTAAACTGAAGTGGGTCGGCGGCTTGCCGTGTAACTTACCGTACATTACACATCTCAGGCACCAACAAGGCCCCCATCTTTCATCACCGCCAGCCAGCTGTTCTTCCGCGCCTCTCTCTCATACATCTACTTCAATTTCCCTCACCCACTCACAGAACTTGCCATTTACATTTACTCGCCGACTAATTTTTCTTCAGTGGCGGCGCAATAGAACACCAGTGTCTTTGTTTCACCAAACATCTCCTCCCCTCCAGCTTCTCCCCCTAACCCTGGCCGCAATGGCCCAGTATTACCCGCAGCAACAGCCTTACGGAGCGCAGGCCTCTGCGCAGAACCTTCAATTCTACCCGACATCCTACCAGTCTGTCTCCGGTCATACAACCCCTTCTCAAGCTTCCTATGGGGGCTTTGGAGGCCCCTCCAATCCTGCCGCCCAAGCTTATCCCGTCGGAGGGGTGGGAAGCGGATATGGCGGCTTCGGCTCCCCATCTGCAGGAGTGAGCGGCAGGATGGGTGAACAGGGCGGTTTACGGACGGGGTGGCTTGCTGCATTTGGGACTGAGGGGTATGATGGGGAGCCGCCGCTTCTGGAGGAACTGGGAGTCAATTTTGAACACATTCGCACCAAGGTAATGGATATCATGACGCAGAAAAAGAGAGAGAAAGCCGCTATATTGAAGTTCTTCACTGACTGACCTGAAATATCATTGATGCTGTATGTTTAGACCTTAACCGTCTTGAATCCCTTTGCTCGCATTGATCAGCACCTGATGGACGACAGCGACCTCTACGGCGCGCTGCTTTATATCGTACTCTACGGCACCTTCCTCCTGCTGTCCGGCAAGGTCTTTTATGGGTATATCTACGGCGTCGCGGTATTCGGCACGGTTGCCTTGCACTTGATCCTCAGCTTGATGTCGCCCGCGCTCGACGCGGTCCCCGTAGCCAACGCCGCCGATCCCACCAACTATTCTCCGCACCACAAACCCACCATGTCGGACGCCTCGGCCGCCGGCCATTTCTCTGCAACCCTGACCTTCCCCCGCTCCGCCAGCGTACTTGGCTACTGCTTCTTGCCCTTGGTGCTGACGAGCTTGGTTGGGATTCTCATTCCCATGGATACCATGTTCGGCTATCTCCTGACCACCGCCGCCGTTGGCTGGTGCACCTACAGCTCCTCGGGGATGTTCTGCGCCGTCGCCCGTATGCGCGGCATGAGAGGCCTGGTGGCCTATCCTCTGGCACTGTTCTATGTGGTATTCGGTATCATGGGAATTTTCTCCTCCCGAGGAAGTGGCACCCTGGCTGCCAAGACGGGTGCTGCCTGACCGAGACTACGGAATCGATATCCGGGGCGCTCACTGGAGGCGCGGCCATCAAGTTTTATGCACTGGAACGACTATGCGTTGCACTTGGGCTGTTTGCAAGTCGAACCGCACCTTCGCAGCGAAGGCACCGCTTGATTGGCTTCGCGGCAGCTTTGTATGAATATCATGATTTCTCTTGCTGCTTTAGTTATACCATACGTGCCTCTTCGAGTTTCTGAGCTAGCGGTGTACTTGATCCTTCCTTAATTGACGGGTCTTTAGTTACTCTGGTATAAAAAAAAAGAGTGTATACTTCGCCAAACCTTTGTCCAGTCCCCAGCACTCTAGTATGACTCCGCATTTTAGTGTCATCACAGGTCCCGGTCAGACGTCCCTTAGGCTGACCCTACAATGATCTCACGCGGATCTACACCCGAGTGTTGATTGAAGCCATTTGGTGCAGGGTAGTGGTCGAAATCAAGGGGAAAAAAAATCAGAATCCCCCACCGGCAAAATTGACTACGTTATGGGCCAAAAATAGAAAGACCAACTCTCTTGTGATTTCATGCTTTAGCTTAATGCAATTGGCTATCTACGTGAACATACTTGTTTTCTCGCCACGAGCCGGAGCCCAGTTGTCCAGCCACTCGCGCGATCGTTCAAGATTGCCTGCAGAAGCTTCGACGGCAGCAACACACCATGCCAGATCATAGGATTTCCCCTCTGCTGCTGCAGCTTCTCTGGCGAGTAATTCCGCGAGAGAGCGTCGTTGCTGGCCTACTTGATCCGTACATAGGTGGAAAGGCGCTGCATTCGGCGTATCTCCTTGAAGATTGACTGCGTCAATCAGTGGCCGCACTACCGCCAGGATGGCCGCCGCACTTTTCGGGGTAAATGGCTCGCTAGATTGTCTGGCTTGCTTTCCTGTCTTGCAATACTCATTCTGACACCAAGATTTACCGCACCCTGACATCATCTGCGAAAGATACCGGCGCTCAATGCGTCTTCGCAAAGCCTTTCCCTCTGGGTCATAAGTGTCCACATAAAGTGGACCAAAGCAAATGCTACATAGGCCCAGGTGATTCGCGTTCTGCGTCCCACGGCCGTCCAGAGTCCGGCCGCAATTTTCATTCAAGCAGATCCGAGGTGTAGGCCGAGACAAACGCTCCAAATCGTGATGGCGTAGGTGAGTCTTTAGATCCCGCATCCGAACAATCTTGTTGCATAAATGGCATTCCGTGGTCCGCCCTCCATCCACCAGCTCGTGCGGGGTAAGACCAGAAACTAGAACTTCTGGATCTTCCATGCTGGGGTCTGACTCGCCTCGTTGGGGTACCACAAGGTGGCAGAATTGGCAGAGGATAGGCTTGGCTGGGCAGACGGTCGTGCGATGTTGCGCAAGGCGTGGGAGGCTCCCTGTCTGGTATCCACAAGCACGGCAAGAATGCTGTGTATGGAATACATCATTGTGCTTTTGCTTGTCTAAAGGACTATTTCCATAAGATGAATCATGTGGACAATGCCAATGGTCCTGCCATTCGGGAGAACGCTTCTGAAAGACATTATGGCACTGGGGGCAATACACGTTGTTCCGGATACAAAAATTCTCGTGAAGCACCAGAGTCCGCTGTGGCACCCACTGGCGGCAGTTCTTACACTGCACGTCCTCAGGCGCATGATCACTCGGACCCTCGCACACATTAGGCCCGTCTTCCTTAATTGCCATGCCGTTTGAGAGCTGCAGCTTGTAAGGCACTGGTGAGCTGGCTCCGGAACCTTGTATCGAGGAGGCGTCAGGCATCATCATATGAACCGATATGTATATAGCATCGGCGCTCTCGAGCTCAGTATTTGTCGGTTGAATCATCAATCGCTTCGAAAATTGCATTGAAAAGTCACCAAAAACATGTTCGTCCACCCTTGGTCGATTCCTTTGACGAGCAGAAAGCGGGCTGGCAAAAACGTACACATCTGCGTTGTCAAGGCCTTCAACGCGAATTTCGAGGGGGGCTCCACGATCCCATCTGGCAAGCTCATAATCGACATAATCACCCGGTGCTAGTTGGCCAGTGACCGAATGGCCGATGTGAAGTTCGCCACCAGGAGAAGTACCATTCTTACTGCCCACGGTGCGAGATGAACTTTCTAGCCGTTTCTGTAAAGTTTCTCTTGCTTGGTCCTCGTTCAAAGCAACAATGTCGACTTCCAAATCCGTATCCACAACGCATATTCCGGGGCCCTCGGGTTCCACCTTGTCGACCAGAAAACGGAACGGCTCACCCTGACCGCTAACTACCTTTAAGACCTCGCCGATGGTAAGAGTCGTATAGCTATCACGTAGCACGCGCTCCAACAGGGCCTTCCAGTCTTCCGGGTCGTATCCGGCTGCAAGCGGGCGCAAGCGCACATACGTGCCCTTCGGTAACTGATGCGCGTGCACCGTCACTGTAGCAAATGAGGACTTTTCTGGCATGTTCGAGGTAGCATTTTCTGCTGGAGGCGATGGCGGGAAATTGTCCAATCCGAGCGCGCCTCGTAGGAAGGTGCTCAATCCGATCTCATTTTCCCCTGAGGAGAATTCTCGAATACCCGCATAGACCACGCGGTCATTTTGAGGATTCACGATGCGGAATGTCAGCGGCTGAGGTAGCTGATGTTGGCGCTCTGCAGCGCGATCGAGTGCTCGCGACTCGGTCTCAAATGTGTAGGGGTTGAAGAGGTCGAAGGCGGTGGTGACAGGAAGCGCAGGATTAGGCGAGACGGTGTCTTGAAGCGGGGCCGCGGCAAGGAGTTGCTCGAGAGCAGACTGGGGCAGTGTGATTTTATCACCCGGAAGTTGAGGGGTGAGATCCGAAGGTGTGACAGTCAATTGCGCTGACCAGCGTAGAGAGCCTTGTTCGGAGGCCATAACCTTAAACTCGGTATGTACAGTACTGTATTTTATAGGTACAGTATTCGTAGGTGATGGGTAAATGTGATGTTTAGTCCTAGCGGGGGGAGGGGGGCTTATACTAGGAGACTTTCGGACCTTGGGGCAAAGCAGCCAAAGCGAAGAGTGGAAATAAGGAGGAAGTTTTGGATGGAAGGAGATTGCTTGATAAACTGGTCATCTTCAAGATTAGATAATTTGCCTACACGCAGCTTGAAAGGGTGGTTGCTTGTTGCAGGCAGCAGGAGAGCAAGCCTTGGGGGAGGGAGAGAGAGAGAGAAAGAGAGGGAGAACCGAAGCGCCGCGGGCCTTCTGGAAAGAGGTCGGGGATTTGTCATCCTGATTGGCCTTTTTAACTTACTCTGTAGTTACTGTTAAGTTACTATCAATTATGTTAACCTTGAAGTCAACCAAACTAACTAAACTAACCAACAATTAACCAACTACTCTGGAACCTGGAAAATTTGACTAGTCGAACTATAGAGAGTATATGGTATAGTGACATCGCTCTCAATGCATTCATTCCATTCCACCCTCAGCCCTAATCCTCAGCTGTTTCCCATGCTGACAAAGATACGCTTGCTTGAAATGATTCAGGACCCACAATGATGTCTTTAGAGCACCAGTCCAATCAAATCAATATAATTCTCTCACTCGATGGCGTGTGCTCGTGTTGCACCAGTCACACTTCCCCCTTGGTCAGCCTTCCCTTGTCATAGATGAAGTCTTGGTACATACCAGGGTTGATGAGCACCCTTCATTGTGCTCAACACAGTAATCTCCTCGGCAGGTGTTGCATGTCCGTTGGCACTCCGCCTTACACATGGCACACTGGATAACCCATCAGAAAGAAGCTAGCTGGACACTAATCACGGCACTCACCGTTGGACCACATTCCCAGCAGTCCTTGCTCACACCAAGCCCGCCTATATTCAATTCGTCCCCTCTGGGTTCTCTGGTAGCAGTCTGATGCGGGGTGAGGTTGCTTCTTACGCGCTCTGGATATGGCAAACAATCGGTGCAAAACCATTTATTACAACGATGACACCAGCGATCGGTCAGACATTCTGTACACCGAGCTATCAACACTGCTTGTTTGTCAGGAATTAACGCAGGGCGTCTCGCTGCTGCCACTGTAGATGAATGCAATGGAGGTGGCGCAAGCAGAGGAAATCGCTCCTCGAGGAATTCGCCCCAAATCGCCGGTCCTTCGGGTACTGAATGGCATCCATCGCAACCTTCGGGACCAAGTGCGACAGTAGCTATTGCCGGCGCAAGCATTCGACTCTCTAGCTCGGAGCTCTCGTCGTTCGGTAAGCTTGGATCTTGCAGCTCAACATTGTGCCGCGGACCCCGACACAGCACGGTGTCGAAGGCAATGATACCCTCGCATTTTTGAATTGTTTCTGCCCACCCTTCGTCTATCTTCCGCTTGAACAGCTTCCCTGACGGATAGTACCAGGGATTTTGACTGCATGTATCACTCGTTGGCTCGCGACGTGATGCTGGATTTTCGCCGGGGGTGGAAGGCTCGCTTGATTCTTGGCTGGAGCATCTTGAGTTCCACCAGTCGCGGTAGTTCCTGCGTACAGCACCACGCGGTTGTGCCATGGGTGTAAAATGGTATATCCCCTTCAAACGCGGAGTTCCTTTGGGGCGTGTAGGTCTGACCGCATAATTCAGCACCTGCATCAACTTAGGTTCGTTCAGATGCCGGCACTCCCTTATCGACAGAATATTGATGTTGAAACGATCTGTCAGAAGGATGTCGGCAATCAATTCCGCCGGCACAGACAGCCCGTCTAATATCAGTGTCCGCACATCTTGCATGATTGATTTTCGTTCGAGGTGGGAAAAGATGCCTCGCAAAGGTGTCGCATAAAAATCATCCGCCGTAAGTGCGTCACTCAGCTGAACCTCTCTTGCGGCCTGAGCCTCAAGTTTGTCTGGTACCTCGCTGGCAATGTCGGCGCCGCGACATCGGCTCAGGTCGAGATGCCGGAAAACATATGGCGTGTCTATGACCAAAGATCTAAGAACACGCGAGGTCGAGGCCACGGCGAACAAAGCTGGGGTCGACAAATATGGGGCG